AATGAGCACAAAGTGAGCAATAAGTGAGGCTCTAAAAAGGGACCCAAAAGGACCAACACATGACACATGGAAGTGTCTGAGATGGAGTCCGAGATGGACTGAGATGGAGTCCGAGATGGACCCGAGATGGAGTCCGAGATGGACCCGAGATGGACCCGAGATGGAGTCCAAGATGGACCGAGACGGAGTCCGAGATGGAGTCCGAGATGGACCCGAGATGGAATCCGAGATGGAGTCCGAGAAGGACCCGAGATGGAGTCTGAGGTCGAGAACGAGACCGGGACCGAGGCTGAGGCCAAGACCGAGCCCGAGTCTGAGTCCAAGTCCAAGTCCGAGTCCGAGTCTGAGTCCGAGTTCGAGTCCGAGAGGGTGAAAGCCCAAAGCGTTCATCTCCCAGACCCTAGGGGTTTGGTGAGCTCCAAAAGTATAGTAAAGGGGAGGACTATAGTCGAGCTTGTTTGGCCAGGAAAGGCCAATTTGGCCCAGAAAGGCTGTACCCAGTGTTGGGTGATGAGTTGCCCACTAGGAAGTCCAAGACTAGAGTGAACACGGACTGACAAGCAGGGTAGTTTGGTGAAGTGTTCAAGAGCCGGCTCTAGTTCCCCCGAGAAAATGCTCCTAGTCCAAGTGTGGGTGGCACTACCTACTTGGATACTTGGTGTGGCTTTGTGGACACTAAACGTCAAATACAACAACTGCCGATGGCACAGAATCCTTGTCTAGAAAATCCATAAATGCTAAAACAATAGGCTCGTCAGAAACATGAGAAGAGAGTGAAGAAGGAAGAGGAGCTCAAGAAATGGCGTCAGCATCAGCCATAGAACTTCCCGGGTGATGAACAACATCAAAATCATATATCTGAAGCTTGACCAACTAAATTCTTCAGCTTTAATAATGAAGTAATGGCAACATGATCACTTTTTAGTAATGTCCGAGAATTATATAGATATGCATCAAGTTTCTCAAAACCCTACAGTACTACTAAACACTCCTTTATCATGGAGGAGTTCACCTCCGCTGGTTGTAATATACGGTTGATGTATGCAATGGGATAGCGCTGACCAAGCACACTCAGACTCTCTTGCATCAACACACCTCCAAGACCAATATCAGAAGCATCCACGTGCAAAATGAACAGTTGAGCGTAGTTAGGATATGCCAAAACCGGAGGAGTCATCAATAGCTCTTTGAGATTCATAAATGCCCGCTCACAGTCTGTAGACCAAATGAAAGATGACATTGATGACTTTAGCAATGCTTGCAACGGTGGAGTGCAATCAAAAAGATGATCCATAAAACAACTGAGATACTACACCTTGTTTAGAAAGTATTACACATCATTCACACACTTTAGAGTATGAAACTTTACAATAGCCACATGTAAGTGACTAAATTTTTTATTCTATTTTAGTCACTCAATCACACCTCCGACCACTTGGAGGAGTATCACTCACAACCTCGATAAGTCTTCTTCCGAACTTGCCCTGAGAATGGCATCCATATAAGTCAACTTTGCACTTGGTCCAAGTGCTCCATGTGTCCGATCCCATGACTGACACCCAAAGGTATTATCGATATATCAACCCGTTATGCTAACGCTATACCCATTCACTTTTGTCACAGTAGTGATTTAACACCACCTACATCACAATCCTGTCTCTCAAAGACTAAGTCATCTGTTCCTAGGCAATCATTCCAGATCCACTCTTTAGCATCTTTAGGATGCCCACAGACATGGGGAACAGCCTTCCTCAATATCCCTTTTCCAGTCCCTATCAAGTTTCTTTTTGTCTATGACCATGCTTGCTAACATTGCCACTAGGTCAAGGCCCACAAGCCCGACTATTAAGTCCCATTGTCCTATGGGACTTCCTCATAATATGACCGTATCCTTTGTCACTACCCTAGAGGATTGTTCCTTTTCCTTTCCACAGTCTAGGACTTTGGGACAATATTTTAGAACACCGTGGCCCTACGTGAGCCTCATGGGTACTCTCCCCATTTTCTACCTTTGGGTGCTCTAGCCATAGGGCTAGAACAAGGTTTTATTGAGCCATGTTAGGTATCCAAGTAAGTAGTGCCACCCACGCTTGGATTGAGAGCATTGACCATTTGATCTTCTGGGGGAACTAGAGTTGGCTTCTGAACACTTCACCAAACTACCCCATTTGTCAGTCTGTATTCACTATACCCTTGAACTCCTCAATGGATATATCATCACCCAACATGTGGGCATAGCCTTCCTGAGTCACATTGGCCTTTCCTGGCCAAACTAGCTCCACTGGGGTCCAACCCCCACACTCTCCCTACTATACTTTTAGAACCCCTTGCACCGATTGCTTTGGGCTTTCACCCAACAGCCTATATTAGTATTCGCACTCACACTCAGACTCGGACTCAAACTCGGACTCAGACGCGGACTTGGTCTCGGTCTCGGTCTCGGACTTGGTCTCGAACTTGGTTTTGGTCTCGGTCTCAGACTCGGTCTCGGTCTCGATCTCAATCTCAATCTCAGTCTCGGTTCCATCTCAGACTCCATCTTGGGTCCATCTCAGGTCTATCTTGGACTCCATCTTGGGTCTATCTTGGACTCTTTAGACTCCCTCTCGGGTCCATCTTGACACTTCCACGTATCATATGTTGGTCCTCTTGTGTCCTTTTTCTAAAGATTCACTTATTGCTTGCTTCAAGTTCATTCCTCGAGCCTTTTGTTGGGAGTTCCATTCCTACTCTCGACTTTTCAAGTCGGAGCTTTTAGTCCAAATGTATTATGCTTGTTTGGCTTTTGCTTCGGCCACTACCACATGGCACCCTTTTGGCTCCACTTTGGGGTTTAGGGATTTGTGTCTCAAAGCACAAGTTTGTCAGGATCAACTTGCAAACCCTTACGAGAAATATGGTACCCAAGATAAGTCATGTCTTTGGACCCAAACACGCACTTCAACCTTTTCAGCATTAAACCAATGTCCCATAGCCAATCCAACACTTTACAAACATCATGGATGTGTTTTTCTTATATCCCCTTCGAGTGGATCAAAATATCATTAATGAAGTTAGCAGTCACCTCTGGTATATCGTAAAGAACCTCATCCATCATCCCCTCAAAAGTTGCTAAGGCATTTTTCAAACTAAACAACATCACCAAGAACTCATACAAACCAAACAATGTACAAAAAGTAGTCTTAGGAATATTTTCTTCAGCCATCAGTACTTGCCAATACCCAGAAGCAAGATCTAGCTTGGTGAACCAACGACTTCTCCCAAACGATCCAAAAAATCAACAATGTGAAGAAGAGGGTACACATCCGGGATTGTCACTTCATTTAATGTGATAGTTGATTTAGAAACGAAAACTCCCTTCTAGTTTTATCACCAGATGAGGTTCACATGCCTAAGGACTCCGTGACTTTAGAATAATACCCTTTTCCAACATCTCCTTGACGTTTGTACACAAAATCTTGATCTCTTTAAGTGACTAATAACAAACAAGAACTTTGATTAGACAAGCATCCCTGGTTAGAATCGGATGACATGTGGCAATCTTAGCCCCAGATGATAGGTCAAATTCAAAAAGATCAGCATACTCCTTTATGAGTTGATCAACCGCTGCAATACAAAGATTGTCAAAGGGATCGGAAAAGGGAAAAGTGGAACAAAACGGAAACATAGAAAGAAGTAATAGGGAGACAAAAGTAATTGAAGTAGAGGTAGAAGCAAAGGGATGTAAAGGTACAAAAGCGAGAGGAATAAATGAAATATAAAGAAGTATGAGACAAGGGGGAGAAGCCTCAAAGTCACACTTAGCATGATTATATTACAACCAATCTATACCAATGATGAAGTCAAAAGTTTGATTCGACACCACCCACAATGACTGCAACCCAAATTCGAAATTGCCCATACCCACAACTAAATCCACCTTATCCCGTGCATATGTATATGTACGGCCGTTGCCATAAAGAATGAAAACTGACTCTGCTGCACAACGCAAATGTAGATGGCAACGTGTGGCAACAGGTCAAACAATAGAAGATAAACTCAAACCTGTATCAACTAATATGGAGAGAATAATAGAAGACCTCTAGTTATAAAAACGAGCTTAGAAAGTAAACACTAGATGAACTGGTGCCAAGTGAACCCCTTGATGATACTCTTGCAAGAAAGATGGAGGGGTTATTAACTTATTCACGCAAGGTTCTTCCACTACTCAGGTGACTCCTCGTTTCCCAGATGCATCTTGGTGTCCAAACCTTCCACTATAGTAACACCAATAGGACATTATTGACACTAAAGTCTCCATTCAGGAAATGGAAGTCACCAATTTGGAAAACACCGACAACACCAATAAGTGTGACCAACTTCATCACACACTTAGCAACAAACATCACGGCCACGACCACATCCTCGCACTTGTCCTTGGACTTGAGTAGTAGCAACATTAACCTTTATTGAAATAGAACCATTGCCCATAGGAAGTGGAGCTAAAGGACATGCAGCGAGAAGTGGAAAAAGCAATGTTTTATAACATTGTGCCAGGCGAAGAGCATCGTCAAGGGTGGTTGGAGCAAGTGCATGCACAAGTCCAACAAAATCTTAATGAAGTGCTAGCCATAACATTTCTAAGTTAATCCGCTCTAATATATTTGACTTTGCATGAAGCAAGAGGCTTCAAAAACTAATGCTAAATTGCATCACAGACTCAGATAGCCCTTGACAAAGACAACACAATTGTTGGAAGGCATCATCACAATCGTTAGTATATCTAAATGTGCATTTGAAGATTTTTGGGAGAACACTCCAATCCCCACGAATGGCTGTGCTCAAACCATTGTACCACTCCACAACCATCCTTTGGAGACACATGAGAAACTCACGTAAATGTTGAGCATTATCCTAAGAATGATATGTGGTAATCATCGTGAAATGATTGAACCAATGGTACACTCCTTAGGGATATGAAAATGGAATATAAAAAATATATATATCAATTAGCCCAGAAACCTTAGCTTATATGCAGGTTCAAATCAATCTAACAATTACTAAAATTTATTACACTAATATTAGTTACCAAAATTCCACTACACTAATATTAATATACTACTAGATTAAAACTTATTATATGAAGAAATCATGTATTTGGGTAGTGTAGGCATCTTTCGGCAGCCTTGGAGTAACCACTAGCTGCAATGGATGCTTCATGATGCAAGTAGATTTGAAGCAATCCTCCATGGATTGGATCTTCCCAGGCTCCACACTCCAGTCAAAGCCATGTATGAGATTTGCCACGAGCAGCTTCATGGTTCTTAGGCCCAAGGGCATCCCTGGGCATCTCCTCCGCCCAGATCCAAATGGAAGGAGTTCAAAGTCCTGGCCTTTGATGTCGATGGACCTCGCAAGGAAGCGTTCCGGCAAGAATTGTGTGGGATTCTCCCACACCACGGGGTCCATTCCCAGCGCCCACGAGTTGACGATCACGATGGTTCCTTTTGGGACGTCGTAGCCCCCGAGTTTTGACGCTTGGCCTTGGCACTCGCGGATGTAGATCGGGACTATTGGGTAGCGCCTGAGTGACTCCTTGATGATGGCGTCGAGGTAGCCGAGCTTGGAGAGGTCTGATTCTTGCACCATCCGCCTGTTGCCCACGGCATCGTGAAGCTCTTGCTGGGCTTTTTTCAGGATCCGGGGCTCCTGGATCACTGCTGCCATAAGCCACTCGGTCCCAGTGACGGAAGTTTCAGTTCCTGCCACCATCAAGTCCTGAAAGAAAGAATATGAATATCAGAAGCACTATCTTGTTCTTCATCCTCACACACGTACCAACAGATTAGCTTTTGCATAAGCTTCCTCCTCTCCGAAAGCCTTGAGCAGGATGTCAAGGAAGTCCTTCTGCTCTCGGGTGCTCTTCTTGTGTTCTTCCACAACCATTTGCAAGAACTTATCCACCTTTGCATGAAGGCGTCTCAATCCAGGAGTCTTCCAGTCAAGCCATCTCAAGTACCAAGGCACGAAGTTGCTCAAACAGGGCTCCATAACACGCTGCAACACTTCGATTAACCAATTCTTGAACTCCATGGCCTCCTTTGAGCTAGCCGCACCGGTATGCTCGTGGCTGAGGTACCGTTTGCTCATGAGGGCGCCGGTTATGCTGTTGAATGAGAACACCGACAGGGTCTTCCTCAAATCCAGCGCCTGCCCATGGCTGGCCCTGCTGAGAATTGCACTCAAAAGATGCGAGAGCTCTTCTCTTCGAATCCATGAAAACGAATCGATATTCCTGGCGGTGAAGAGCTCCGTCAGGCACAGCTTCCGGATGCTGCTGTAGTACTCGCCATAAGGGGCAGTCCCGATGCTTCTAAAGTTGTAGTCTATGTGCTCTGAGACACTCGTATATGGCTTGGATGGAAAATTCACATCCTGCGAGGTAAAGAGCTCTCTTGCCAGAGCTGGCGCTGATATGAGAATCGCTGGCCTCATTCCCAGGCTCAAGGACACAATGGGGCCGTGCTTTTGTGACATGGATTGCAGCGCTCGGTGGAGGGGCATTCTCGCTAGCAAGTGGAGGTGGCCAATCAAGGGCAATCCCCATGGCCCTGGTGGAGAAGTCACTCTGGATTTGTAGCTGATTATCACGACGGCCAGGATAAAAAGGAGGAGGAGAGAGCTTACAACGACACTAAGTGTGAGATCCATCTCTCTTTTCTGCTAGTAACACTGGACTGCCACCTTCTTAAATACAATGGATTGCGGTTTTTTCAACGAGGGGTGAGAAAACACGAGCATGAAACTCATTTTTCAATAGTCCCGCCGCCCTATGTTTCGTCTGGGACGTACAATGACAATCGAGCCACTGCTATAGCATTTTCAAGCATTCGATATCACCCCACCAAAGTCTGCCATATGGCGACTATAAAATGTCCTCCACGATCTCCTAATGGTCATGGCATTTGTTGTGGAGAAGATTCCCGCCATGGAACACCTCCTGGGGCTAAAGAGGTTCTATTTGCCGCCCATTCGCTGCTCCATCCCCTCCAGCGCCTGGCATCCCGACCACAAGCTGGTTGCCAAGCTCGCGAACGAGTGGGCATTCCCATTCATCAATCCCAGCATGAGCGATGCCCAAAAGCTCTCCCTGGACCGCATGCGAATCCCGCTCTACATGAGCATGCTCGTGCCGTGCGGATCCACCGAGAGCGCCGTCCTCTGCGGCAAGTTCGCGTGGTTTGGAACCATGCTGGATGATCTCCTCGAGGACGAGTCCCCCGGTGGCGCCCCCCGGGAGGAGTTCCTGGAGGCTTTCCAGGGCATCCTCCACGGGACGCACCCACATCGCGATCCAGTCCATCCATCGCTCGAGTTCTGCGCCGACCTCATTCCGCGCCTGCGATCATCCATGGCTCCCCGGGTGTACGCGCACTGGGTCGCGCAGATGGAGGCCTACGCTGCCTCCATGGACCGGAGCGTCCCTTCTCTAGCACAATCGGCATCGACGGTCGAGAGCTACTTGGCCCGCAGGAGGCTCGATTGCTTCCTCCTCCCCTGCTTCCCATTCATCGAGATGTCGCTGGAGATTGCGCTCCCGGACAGCGATTTGGAGTCGCGGGACTACCTGGCGCTCCAGAACGCCATCAACGATCACGTCCTCCTTGTCAACGACGTTATCTCCTTCCCCGCGGAGCTGCGCGCCAAAAAGCCACTGAGAAGCATCGCGTCCTTGCAGTTGCTCTTGGATCCCAGCATCAACACGTTCCAAGACTCGGTGGACAGGACCTGTGCAATGATCCAGGAGAAGGAACGCGAGGTGACGCATTACTACGACGTTGTGATGAGGAACGCTGTGGCTTCTGGCAATGCCGAGCTTGTGAGCTACCTTGAGATCCTCAAGATGTGCGTTCCAAACAACCTCAAGTTCCACTTCATTAGTTCTCGTTATGGAGTGAATGATGGCGAGTCTGGTCATGGAATTTGGATTGTTCTGTAGATCTTGCGATGAAGCATGATAAGATCCACAAACCGAAATAAAGCTTTCAAGTTTTCTGATGTGTAGAACTTGTGTGGAGCTCATTAAGGGTGGCAACTTCAATAGGAACGAGTGTTTCAAGCTCATCGATTCTTGCAATGGGTTAGACGATGCCAAGAACATCCACCAGCACATCAGCGGCCACACTCTTGGCAAAGTCCACACTGCGGTGGACGTTCGGATCCACAACAAGCTCATTCGCATGGACGGGCGTGTTGGAAGTCCTGCTCTAGCGCGAAAAGTTTTTGATTCCATCGATTCCAAAGATGCTTTCTCCTGGTACTTGATGCTGGATGCTTACCTCAAGAATGGGCAACTAGTCGATGCTTGGATGGTTTTTGTCCAAAGTCTGGAGCATGACTTGGTGTCGTGGACATCACTGCTCTCTTCTTATGCCCAGAACGGACAGGTTGAATTTGCAAAGAAAATATTTGACGAGATGCCCATGAGGGACATGGTCTCATGGACGTCAATGCTAGCTGCTTACTGTAGAAGCAAGATGATTCTCGATGCCAAAAGTATCTACGACGAAATGCCATCAAGGGATTGTGTCCGGAACGTTAATAGTCTCGGCACTTGCCCAGGGTGGGCATTTGGAAGAGGCCAAGGATGTATTTGATACAATGCCAGAAAGGAATATGTTCTCGTGGAATTGCCTTCTATCCGCGTATTCCTCGAAAGGTATAGATCAAGCAGAGATAAATTTTTATACGATGATGCCAGAGAGGGATTTGGTTTCGTGGAACTCTTTGCTTTGTTCAGGCACGGGAAGTCGAGAAGGCGGCTCGTGTATTCGCTGAAATGGAGGAGCGTGACATCTTCTCTTGGAACTCTATGCTGGCAGCGTACTCCCAAAGCGCGCACCTCCACAAAGCTGAGATTTTCTTTAGCACTCGAATGCCCTTCCACGATCTAGTCTCTGGCAATTGCATGCTAGCGCTCTATGCACGGGCTGGAATCATTGAGGCTCTAGAGGTCACATTTGATGAGATGATAGAGCGTAATCTCGTGTCCTGGAACTCCTTGTTGAGTGGATATGCCCAGATCGGGCATATCGAGAAAGCAAGAGCCGTGTTCCGGCGAATGCCACAGAGGAACATTTGTCCTGGAACTCCATGGTCGCGGCGCTTGGTCGCTGTGAAAACGTGGATATGGAAGCCGTGGAAGCCATGTTTACGGCGATCCTCGTCTCCTGGAACACGAGGCTTGATGTGTATGCCCGGAGAGGGCATATCGAGGAGGTTAAAAGCTCATAAAAGTTTCACTGGAATGAGATATGCATTTTTCCTTGTCGGCATCCATGTGCACAGGCTTCGCAAGCATCACGAGCGCAGCCGGGTTGCCAGGACTGAGCTTGAGAATCTCTTTTGCTGCTCTGTTTATCTGGGAAGAATCGGTAGAGCTCCTGAGCAGGCACATCCAGTCGAGCGCATCAGCCTCGTAAGGCATGCTCCACACGAGCTCCTCGGCCTCACGAAAGTATTTCGCTCAGGAAAGCAAGTCCACCATGCACGAGTAGTGCTGCTTGCTGGCTTTGAGCCCGTAGTCGAAGCTCATGGACGCAAAAAAAGACTTTCCAGAGTAGAGCTTGCCATCGTGACTGCACGCAATGAGCACGGACGCAAAGCACGCGTCGTTGGGAGTATTCACCAAGTTGATCGAGCAAAAAATCCGCGGAGCTTCGCCCCAGCGGCCACTATGGCAGTAGGCCGCGAGGAGAGATCCCCACGACACAACGTCGTCGCTCTCTGGCTTGCGATGGAACAGTCGACGAGCACTCGCGAGGTAGCCGAGCTGAGCGTAGGCCGCGAGCATCACGTTCCAGCACACGGTGTCTCGCTGGGGAATCACGTCGAAAACTTCTTTTGCCTCTCGGATTTGCCCGCTTCGAATGTAAGCCACGAGCAAGCAAGTCCACAAGACGCTGTTTGGCTGCTCGCCACCGGGTATGGAATCCAGAACTCTCTTCGAATCGCGGGCATGGCCTTTGTTAGAGTACGCGGACAGGAGAGTTGTCCAGGAAACCAAGCTCCGCTTCACAAAAAACTCAACTCTGCCTCGTGAAAAGGCCTTTAGTGATGTGACGAACTTGAGCTCCAGAAATGGTGATATTTCCTTGGGAAAACGCCTTTGTGTATGGCCCCAATCCTGCATGACAGAAGTGTTAGTGCAAAAAAAAGAGAATTTTTTCTTCCTGCCTATGAAATCCATCGGGTGGAGCTGCAGTGCTGCGGTGTTGTAAGATTCGACTAGTGTTTGGAGCAGTCCTTCGCCCTAAGTGACTATGAGAAGCTCGCGCTGGTCACAAGGAGATTATTTATACTTGCAAAAAAAAAAAGAAAAAGAAAAAAAGAGCAGCACCTTAAACTTGTCGGATTTGTCATAGTAGCTCGTAAGAAGCAGCAAGATGTCAAGTTTTTTGGATCCTGTTGAACGTTTTCATGTCATCCTTGAAACCAAAAGAAGAAGAACCGAAATTTTTACTTTGGAGGTGGAGGAACTCGTCGGAAACTCCCGTTTCAACAGTGAGGAACCTGCTCAAAGCAATGCCCATGGAGCACATCCCGATCCTTGCTATTCTTCCCGAGCTACCTGCAGGCCATGAACGAATCGAAACCGATCAAACAAGTACATAGACAAACATATGCAAACCTGCTGCCGAAGTCCAGACTTCGATCTGTTTGTTGAGAATCTCCCTGGGGCTCAACACGGACAAGTCTGATACTCTCTTCCGGACTGACGAGACGAAGTGAAACATCATGAGAGGAGGAGCACGGAAGTAAAGCATACTTACGCATTTTGAAGAAACCATTGCGATCATAGCGTCCCGCCCCATTCAAAAGCAGAGTTGCCATGGCGACGTCTCTGCTTGAGCACTGGCCAATGGACAAGTCAAGGTTGCAAGTGTCGATCAAAATTCCAGCGAGCTATACACATTTTTCCATCAGACAAAGCTCGGACATGGATTTGTAGCTCATTACCAAAAGTCGACTCAAGCCTCTTGTAAAAGCTTGGGAGCCTCGGAGGCGAATTTCTCCGCGACCAAAGTGCAGCACGAGCCAACCTTTCATATGATAGAAAAGAGAAAAATCGCGAAATCATTTTGTAATAAAAACAAAGATCAAGCCAGAAGCACCTGGGGGATCTTATTTTCAGTCTGAAAGTAAAAGTGAGAAGAATATTAGTTTCGTAGTACAGTTAATTATCTATAGTACCATGCTGTGTTCAAGCGTTTCTACGATCACATCACTTAAGCTCTGCCCGACAATCTTGAAAATCAAAACATAAAAATATTTTGAAATTAAGTACCGCGTGGACGGGTTCGAGCTTGTTATGATCCACTAAGACAAGCCTGAGATTACCAAATCGATGGTAATACGTTAAGGTAATCTGGCAACACAAAAGAATAAAAAATCAAGGAAATAAAAAAGGATGGCAACAACACACTTCATCCAAGAAAACAAGGGACTCGACATCGAGCTGCACTGATGGTTCCTTTTGGGACGTCGTAGCTTGTCCTTGGCACTCGTGGATGTGGATCGGGACTATTGGGTAGCGCCTGAGTGACTCCTTGATGATGGCGTCGAGGTAGCCGAGCTTGAAGAGGTCTGATTCTTGCACCATCCGCCTGTTGCTCACGGCATTGTGAGGCTCTGGCTGGGCTCTTTTCAGGATCCGGGGCTCCTGGATCAGCTGCCATGAGCCACTCGGTCCCAGTGACGGAAGTTTCAGTTCCTGCCACCATCAATTCCTGAAAGAAAGAATGTGAATATCAGAAGCACTATCTTGTCCTTCATCCTCACGCACGTACCAACAGATTAGCTTTTGCATAAGCTTCCTCCTCTCCGAAAGCCTTGAGCAGGATGTCAAGGAAGTCCTTCTTCTCTCGGGTGCTCTTCTTGTGTTCTTCCACAACCATTTGCAAGAACTTATCCAGCTTTGCATGAAGGCGTCTCAATCCCGGAGTCTTCCAGTCAAGCCATCTCAAGTACCAAGGCACGAAGTTGCTCGTGGCTGAGGTACCGTTTGCTCATGATGGAGCCGGTTATGCTGTTGAATATGAACACCGACAGGGTCTTCCTCAAATCCAGCGCCTGCCCATGGCTGGCGCACAATGGTGTGACATGGATTGCAGCGCTTGGTGGAATGGCATTCCCGCTAGCAAGTGGAGGTGGCCAATCAAGGGCAATCCCCATGGCCCTGGTGGAGAAGTCACTCTGGATTTGTAGCTGATTATCACGACGGCCAGGATAAAAAGGAGGAGAGAGCTTACAACGACACCAAGTGTGGGATCCATCTCAATGAGGGGTGAGAAAACACGAGCATGAAACTTTTCTTTCAATATTCCAGCCACTGCGATAGAATTTTCAAGCATTCAGTACAAAGTCGATACTCCATTAGCAATGTCCAGTGGGGTAGAATGCACAATTCAGCACCCCCTTTTATTTGGATTTTCTAGTATATTGTTAATTCTCTCAATAAGATCACAAAAAGTATAAGCTATAGTTATAAATTATAGCTCATTTAAATTTAATCGTTAACCATTTAGGGCTGGGCGTGATTAAGCATGACAAATTAATATTTAGCGACGCTATAAAGGATAAAGGATAAAGGATCATGGCTAGGGAAATTCTAACCGGATGGACGTCCAAGGTCCACATCTTCAGGGCACCACCATTGACAGCCTACCGGACGCTGTTCTTGCGCTCATCCTGGACAAGGTACCCCATACCAGGTTTCCTGGCGCGCGTCACAACATCATGTACCAGAGAGAGCGAAGAATGAACGTGGCAAGGGGGTAGCCACGTAAGTGAAAGCTACTGCATTATGCATTTCTCGAAACGAACTTTGCCATGGTGACTATAAATGTCCTCCTCCACGATCCCCTAATGGTCATGGCATTTGTTGTGGAGAAGATTCCCGCCATGGAACACCACCTGGGGCTAAAGAGGTTCTATTTGCCGCCCATTCGCTGCTCCATCCCCTCCAGCGCCTGGGATCCCGACCACAAGCTGGTTGCCAAGCTCGCGAACGAGTGGGCATTCCCATTCATCAATCCCAGCATGAGCGATGCCCAAAAGCTCTCCCTGGAGCGCATGCGAATCCCGCTCTACATGAGCATGCTCGTGCTGTGCGGATCCACCGAAAGCGCCGTCCTCTGCGGCAAGTTCGCGTGGTTTGGAACCATGCTGGATGATCTCCTCGAGGACGAGTCCCCCGGTGGCGCCCCCCGGGAGGAGTTCCTGGAGACCTTCCAGGGCATCCTCCATGGGACACACCCACATCGCGATCCAGTCCATCCATCGCTCGAGTTCTGCGCGGACCTCATTCCGCGCCTGCGATCATCCATGGCTCCCCGGGTGTACGCGCACTGGGTCGCGCAGATGGAGGCCTACGCTGCCTTCATGGACCGGAGCGTCCTTTCTCTAGCACAATCGGCGTCGACGGTCGAGAGCTACTTGGCCCGCAGGAGGCTCGATTGCTTCCTCCTCCCCTGCTTCCCATTCATCGAGATGTCGCTGGAGATTGCGCTCCCAGACAGCGATTTGGAGTCGCGGGACTACCTGGCGCTCCAGAACGCCATCAACGATCACGTCCTCCTTGTCAACGACGTTATCTCCTTCCCCGCGGAGCTGCGCGCCAAAAAGCCACTGAGAAGCATCGCGTCCTTGCAGTTGCTCTTGGATCCCAGTATCAACACGTTCCAGGAATCGGTGGACAGAACCTGTGCAATGATCCAGGAGAAGGAACGCGAGGTGACGCATTACTACGACGTTGTGATGAGGAACGCTGTGGCTTCTGGCAATGCCGAGCTTGTGAGCTACCTTCAGATCCTCAAGCTGTGCGTTCCAAACAACCTCAAGTTCCACTTCATTAGTTCTCGTTATGGAGTGAATGATGGCGAGTCTGGTCATGGAATTTGGATTGTTCTGTAGATCTTGCGATGAAGCATGATAAGATCCACAAACCGAAATAAAGCTTTCAAGTTTTCTGATGTGTAGAACTTGTGTGGAGCTCATCAAGGGTGGCAACTTCAATAGGAACGAGTGTTTCAAGCTCATCGATTCTTGCAATGGGTTAGACGATGCCAGGAACATCCACCAGTACATCAGTAGCCACACTCTTGGCAAAATCCACACTGCGGTGGACGTTCGGATCCACAACAAGCTCATTCGCATGTACGGACGTGTTGGAAGTCCTGCTCTAGCACGACAAGTTTTTGATTCCATCGATTCCAAAGATGCTTTCTCCTGGTACTTGATGCTGGATGCTTACCTCAAGAATGGGCAACTGGTCGATGCTTGGAGGGTTTTTGTCCAAAGTCCGGAGCATGACTTGGTGTCGTGGACATCACTGCTCTCTGCTTATGCCCAGAACGGCCACATTGAATCTGCAAAGAAAATATTTGACGAGATGCCCATGAGGGACATGGTCTCATGGACGTCAATGCTAGCTGCTTACTGTGGAAGCAAGATGATTCTCGATGCCAAAAGAATCTATGACGAAATGCCATCAAGGGACTTAGTGTCTGGAACGTTAATAGTCTCGGCACTTGCCCAGTCTGGGCATTTGGAAGAGGCCAAGGAGGTGTTTGATACAATGCCAGAAAGGAATATGTTCTCGTGGAATTGCCTTCTATCCGCGTATTCCTCGAAAGGCATAGATCAAGCAGTGATAATGTTTTATACGATGATGCCAGAGAGGGATTTGGTTTCGTGGAACTCTTTGCTTGCGGCATTTGTTCAGGCACGGGAAGTCGAGAAGGCGGCTCGTGTATTCGCTGAAATGGAGGAGCGCGACATCGTCTCTTGGAACTCTATGCTGGCAGCGTACTCCCAAAGCGCGCTCCACCACAAAGCTGAGATTTTCTTTAGCACCCGAATGCCCTTCCACGATCTAGTCTCTGGCAATTGCATGCTAGCGCTCTATGCACGGGCTGGAATTATTGAGGCTCTAGAGCTCACATTTGATGAGATGATAGAGCGTAATCTCGTGTCCTGGAACTCCTTGCTGAGTGGATATGCCCAGATCGGGCATATCGAGAGAGCAAGAGCCGTGTTCCGGCGAATGCCACAGAGGAACATTGTGTCCTGGAACTCCATGGTCGCGGCGCTTGCTCGCTGCGAAAACGTGGAGATGGAAGCCGTGGAAGCCATGTTTTCGGCGATGCCGGAGCGAGACCTCGTCTCATGGAACACGAGGCTGGATGCGTATGCCCGGAGAGGGCATATCGAGGAGGCTAGAAAGGCCTTCACCGAGATGCCGGAGCGGAGCTTGGTTTCCTGGACAGCTCTTCTGTCCGCGTACTCTAACAAAGGCCATGCCCGCGATTCGAAGAGAGTTCTGGATTCCATACCCGGTGGCGAGCAGCCAAACATCGTCTCGTGGACTTGCTTGCTCGTGGCTTACATTCGAAGCGGGCAGATCCGAGAGGCAAGAGAAGTTTTCGACGTGATTCCCCAGCGGGACACTGTGTGCTGGAACGTGATGCTCGCGGCCTACGCTCAGCTCGGCTACCTCGCGAGTGCTCGTCGACTGTTCCATCGCAAGCCAGAGAGCGACGACGTTGTGTCGTGGGGATCTCTCCTCGCGGCCTACTGCCATAGTGGCCGCTGGGGCGAAGCTCCGCGGATTTTTTGCTCGATCAACTTGGTGAATACTCCCAACGACGCGTGCTTTGCGTCCGTGCTCATTGCGTGCAGTCACGATGGCAAGCTCTACTCTGGAAAGTCTTTTTTTGCGTCCATGAGCTTCGACTACGGCCTCGAAGCCAGCAAGCAGCACTACTCGTGCATGGTGGACTTGCTTTCCCGAGCGAAATACTTTCGTGAGGCCGAGGAGCTCGTGTGGAGCATGCCTTACGAGGCTGATGCGCTCGACTGGATGTCCCTGCTCAGGAGCTCTACCGATTCTTCTCAGATAAACAGAGCAGCAAAAGAGATTCTCAAGCTCAGTCCTGGCAACCCGGCTGCGCTCGTGATGCTTGCGAAGCCTGTGCACATGGATGCCGACAAGGAAAAATGCATATCTCATTTCAGTGAAACTTTATCAGCTTTTAGAAAGAATCCACAAAAAACTCAACTCAGCAACTGCTGAAAAGGCCTTTAGTGATGTGACGAACTTGAGCTCCAGAAATGGTGATATTTCCTTGCGAAAACGCCTTTGTGTATGGCCCCAATCCTTCATGACAGAAGTGTTAGAGCAAAAAAATAAAGATTTTTTTTTTCCTGCCTATGATATCCATCGGGTGGAGCTGCAGTGCTGCGGTGTTGTAAGATTCGACTAGTGTTTGGAGCAGTCCTTCGCCCTCAGTGGCTATGAGAAGCTCGCGCTGGTCACAAGGAGATTATTTATACTTGCAAAAAAAAAAAAAAAAAAAAAAAAAGAAGAGCAGCACCTTAAACTTGTCGGATTTGTCATAGTAGCTCGTAAGAACCAGCAAGATGTCAAGTTTTTTGGATCCTGTTGAACGTTTTCATGTCACCCTTGAAACCAAAAGAACAAGAACCGAAAAAGTTACTTTGGAGGTGGACGAGCTCGTCGGAAACTCCCGTTTCAACAGTGAGGAACCTGCTCAAAGCAATGCCCATGGAGCACATCCCGATCCTTGCTATTCTTCCCGAGCTACCTGCAGGCCATGAACGAATCGAAACCGATCAAACAAGTACATAGACAAACATATGCAAACCTGCTGCCGAAGTCCAGACTTCGATCTGTTTGTTGAGAATCTCCCTGGGGCTCAACACGGACAAATCTGATACTCTCTTCCGGACTGACGAGACGAAGTGAAACATCATGAGAGGAGGAGCACGGAAGTAAAGCATACTTACGCATTTTGAAGAAACCATTGCGACCATAGCGTCCCGCCCCATTCAAGAGCAGAGTTGCCATGGCGACGTCTCTGCTTGAGCACTGGCCAATGGACAAGTCAAGGTTGCAAGTGTCGATCAAAATTCCAGCGAGCTACACACATTTTTCCATCAGACAAAGCTCGGACATGGATTTGTAGCTCATTACCAAAAGTCGACTCAAACCTCTTCCTTGTAAAAGCTTGGGAGCCTCGGAGGCGAATTTCTCCGCGACCAAAGTGCACAACGAGCCAACCTTTCATATGATAGAAAAGCCAGAAATCACAAAACCATTTTGTAATAAAAACAAAGATCAAGCCAGAAGCACCTGTGGGATCTTATTTTCTGTCTGAAACTAAAAGTGAAAAGAATATTAGTTTTGTAGTACAGTTAATTATCTATAGTACCATGCTGTGTTCAAGCGTTTCAACGATCACATCACCTAAGCTCTGCGTGACAAACTTGAAATTCAAAACATAAAATATTTTGAAATTACGTACCTCATGGACGGGTTCGAGCTTGTTATGATCCACTAAGACAAGCCTGAGATTACCAAATCGATGGTAATACGTTAAGCTAATCTGGCAACACAAAAGAATAAAAAATCAAGGAAATAAAAAAGGATGGCAACAACACACTTCATCCGAGAAAACGAGGGACTCGACATCGAGCTGCACTGCCTTAAACAGCCAATCTATTTCCGTGTGGATTTGGAGATCACTCCTCTTCATGTTGACGACGGGTACAATGCATTGGTTTTGTGATTCTCGCTTGGTGTGAAGGAAGTAAGCGTAAGCAATCGTTGAAACCACAGAATCCAGGTCTGATAAACAACCACAATGAAGAGCTACAGAGAAAACCAGCTCGTAAGTGTAACCATCACCTGGGAAATAGCTGCCGAGGACGACAGTCAAGGAGCGTCCTGGCAATCCGGACTCAATCTCGCCTCTCACCTCGGCGATAAACTCGTTGATCCCAAGAACGTTATGATCGGGTGCTGGAGCTGGAGGGAGCCATCCCCCGTTGTAGAAAGCCGCGGCCACACCCGAGACGGTGAGAGCATTCCGGGTGCTGCTCATGGCACAGCTCGTGAGCAGCCGGCTGACGTTGTTCCTCGGCCTAAACACAGCCTCAAAGCTCTCGGACGAGACTGGTGGAGCTCTGCCGATGGTGGACGAAGAGTTTGAGGCGTCGGCCTGATCGATGCTGAGCTCGAAGCGTGAGTGGATTTCTCCCCCTCGCTCGAAAGTGTCACTAGCAGCCTGCGAGGCATTCGTGATCGAGTGCTGCTTCGTGCTGTATTGCCTGCTCAGCTTGGGTAGAGATGGAGTTTCATTCTCCAGGTTGATGTGGATGAAGTCGGGGATGTTTTCTCCCTCCTCATGGGTGGCGATGTATGGCGAGTGATCAGCTGTTCCTCCTCCATTCTGCTTTACGTAGAGGGTCTCATAGATATCCTCCACGTCCACCGAATAGGGAGAGATCTCTGCGCGTTTGGTCGTAGTGTTGTGCCCGATGTAATACGGGCTTTCCTTCATGCGCTTCTGCAGGAACTTGGAGCCCACGATAATCAAAAGCAGAGGACGAGAGAGGAGGAGCTTACCTGTTTTGCTTTCATGAGTTTAGTCACCATGTTCGCTAATCAAATAGCTTTTCTTTCTTCTCTTGGATCTAGAAACCCTGATCAAGATCGAGGCAGGAAGGTGCAAGCTGGAGAAAGCGGACAGCTCTGACGAGTTCCTCCAGGAGACAACAATTTGTCGCCTCGTGACATTTGTCCAAACATCAACCGCAAAGAATTAGCAGGAATGCTGAAAAAAAGGAGTAGGCAATCGCAGAACCTTTCACTTGACCAACTTTGATCTTGTACATACATAGATCTTGTCATACCTTGGTTCTCCTGTCAGTAATGCTAATAGTCACAGTCGAATATTAAAGGTTTAAATATTGTGAAGAGGGATGTTTGAAATTCACGGCAGGGCAGAGGGCTGGATATGGAGTGGATGTGGGCAATCGCCGCCACACTGCTCCTCTGTCTCTCCTTACCTTCCTCTGCCTCGCTTGATCGAGGAGCTGGCTTGTGCAGCGTCTTCGTGCGGCCATTTGGGTATCCTTGTCTCGAGCACAAGGTAATGATCTTATCTAGTCACTCCTCTTTCACGATCGACGCAGGTGACCACTCTAGATGGATTCCACGTTGCTGTCCAGCGCATCCCTTATGGAGTTCGCAAGGGTGGTGCCCTTCCTCGTCCGGCAGTCTTGCTCCAGCATGGATTGCTCCAGGTTTGAGAGTTTTTCATGTTTCGGAGATCATCTCTGAAAAGAATTTTCTGATTTCCAGGGGGGTGATACTTGGTTTCTGAATCCACCATCGCAATCACTTGGTTTTATCCTGGCAGATGAAGGCTTTGATGTGTGGGTTTCCAACGGCCGTGGAACTTATTGGAGTCGGGGTCACGAAACTCTCTCCATACACGATAAGGTTCTTGCTCATGGCTTTGCGTGCTCCTCATTTGGTGTGTGTGATTGTTGACAAATTATTCACAGAAATACTGGGACTGGTCTTGGGACGAACTCGCGGAGTATGACATCCCAGCAATACTGGAGTTTATTCACAGCTCAACATCTTCGGAAGTGTTTTACGTTGGCCATTCTCAGGTGTGGGATGTATGTTTCTTCTTGTGCTGACATTGATCCTCATCTCTCCGGTTTTCACAGGGCACCATCATAGGCCTGGCGGCGCTAACATCACCAAAAACTTCTCGACTGGTATCTGGTGCGGCATTCCTGAGCCCGATCACGTACCTGGATCATATCACCTCCAAGCTCATTCGTACTGCCGCATTTCTTTACATTGACGCGGTACGTAGCTTCTTGCAACCTCTGGAGATGGTTTCGATTTATCCGGCTCCCACTGACAGATTTGCAATGCGGTTGGTTTGTATGAATTCAACCTTCACAAGTAAGGTTCTTCTGATTTGATTTGCTTTCCTGCTCAATCAAGTCCTGCTTCTTGTCCAGCGAAATCGGCGTGGAGCTCGTTGACAAGGCCTGCGCAGATCCGGAAGTGGACTGTGGAAACCTTCTGGCGGCCATAACTGGTAAGCCGGTCTCGAGCTGTGAACCCGTTGTGACAGGCAAAACATTTTCGTGGTTTCCTTCTAGGTCCCAACTGTTGCTTCAACGTGTCGAGAATTCCATACTACTTGCAGTACGAGCCACAGTCCACCTCTCTCAAGAACATGCAGCACCTCGCACAAAGTCGGTACTCTTTCTTCCTCTTGTCTTGGCGATAAAGCTCTTTGATCTTCGTCAGTGATCCGGAAGGGCACGTATGAGCGGTTCGACTATGGCTGGGTGGGAAATCTGCGAAACTACCGCCAGCTCCATCCTCCAAAGTATGACATCGCCACCATTCCTGCCCTTCCGGTGTGGATGGCTTACGGTGGCAAGGACTGCCTGTCCGACACCAAAGACGTCGCACACACACTGGAGCTCCTCACTTGCAACCCCAAGGTGCTATACGTGGAGGATTACGCGCACCTCGATTTCATCCTCAGCACTCGAGCGCGGGACGACGTCTACAACGACATGATCGCTTTCCTCAAGGGCCACTTCAGCACTAAATGACTTGTGCGCGCGTGCGTGTATATATATACTTCGGCTGTGGCTAGAAAGCTTGATAAATCCAAGGCATTTGCAAGCATCACTATGGTGGACGGGGAGCTTTGCGGTCGGGATGGCGATGGTGGCGAGGAGTTTAATTCTTCTCAGACGCTTCTCGTGGCGTTGGATCAATTTGGAGGAGAGGAAGCAGAAGAGGAGGAAGAGGTGGTGGATTTGAGGCTCTTGTACGCGGCTCAGTTCTTGGGGCGATGGGGAGCCGGGTAAATTGCTCTCAGGATCCCATCTTTCTCGGATTGATCATGCCAGTTCTTTGCGCAGAATGTGGGATTTCCTGGTCGCTCTGCTGCTCATGAGAGTGGGATCCAATTCTCTGCTCCTCACCGCGGCGTATGGCCTCGTCCAGGCCGCCGCAACGTCGGCATTCGGCGCGGCCATTGGAAGCGCAGTCGACAAAATCAGCCACATCAAGGCGAGCAAAGCCAAGCGCACGGAACTCTTGCGATCGTTCTTTGCTCTAATTCTGTGTGACCATGCGCAGCTTCTCCGGCTTGGAATCGGGACACGAAACCTGTCCATCGCCTTGTCCGCCACTGCCCTGTCGCCGCTGCTCATCCCGGGATCAATCCCGCCATTGGGCAGGAAACTCGCGATCGCAATTGTCCATTCCCTGGGCGCCGTGGGGATTCTCAGCGGGCTGGCGGTGGGAATCCTGCTCGAGCGGGACTGGTCGGAGTCCTCTGTTTCTAGGGATTTGGGATTTCTTTTAACGGTCTCTTGATTTCACAGGGCTGTGACATTGGGCGAGCTTCCGGGGCAGAGCCTCACGCGCATCAACTCGGCGATGAAGCGGATCGATCTGGTTTGCAAGATGCTGGCTCCCGCATTCGTGGGGATCTGGCTGAGCAGCTTCTCGGCGATTCCTTGCTTGATCGCCACTGTCGCGTGGAATGGTTTGAGCCTCGCTCTGGAGTATCGGCTTTTGTCCACCGTCTACCACCGCGCCCCTGCGCTCCAGAAGCTCTCCAGATCCAAGAAATGCCAGGATAAACTTGATCCTAGAGCTCTAAGCGGTGTCACGCAACTCGTCAAGGGAGCTTGTATTGCGATGATCGATGGATGGGCGAGCTACTTCAGACAAGAAGTGGTGCTAGCAGCGGTGGCATTGGCAGTCCTCCACTGCACAGTTCTAAGGTTCGAATAAACTTCCTCTTCAATATTTCTATCTTTTCTCCCAGCTTTGGATTTGTGATGACTGCCGCATTGGCATGGAAGGGAGTGCCAGCGCACATAATTGGAGTTGCAAGAGGCCTTGGAGCATTCTTAGGAGTGGCAGCAACATATTTGTATCCAGTTATCCAGTCCAAGGAAGGAACCGGCAAAGCAGGCCTTTGGGCCATCTCGACTCAAGTAAATGCCCCTCTTGTAGAAAACATCCCGGAAGAACTCTCTCAAAACGTCTTTGTGCAGTGGCTGTGCTTGATGGTGAGCGTGGCCTCGGTTTGGATCCACAAGACCAGCGTCGCGACATCGCTTCTTATCTCTGGAATCGTAGCTTCTCGACTGGGTCTGTGGATGTTTGATCTGGCCGTGACCCAGCTCATGCAGGCAAGAACTTAACGCTTAGCTTTCCTCTCATTTTTGTGATGCACAGTCCACAGTCGAAGAACAAGAGAGAGGAAGAATTGGTGGCGTGCAAAGCGCCTTGCAATCGCTGATGACCCTCCTATCCTTCGTTATAACTATTCTAGCACCAGATCCAAAGGTGGTGATATTCTTTCAGGTACCTAATGGATGGTCTTGTATTTCATTTACAGGAGTTCGGAAGGCTTGTGATCATCTCCTACGTCATCGTTACAATTGCAGCCTTGCTCTTTTCATCATACTTCTACAGATCTAGCTTACAAAAATCGTGAGAGTACTGTCTGCCCAGCTCGCCAACGTTTGGAGCGTACTCACACTCAAGGCGACGAAGGTGTTGTTAAAGTTCGTGACGATATGAACAGTTGTGTCTACAAGCGAGTAGTCAGCATGACCACTCCCTTGAATCCCATCGGATGCGCCTACTAGTAGATGATCATGCAAAGCCTTCACTTGATAGATTTCTCGCTGTTGGTGATCGGGAAAGCTCGAGTTTTCCAGTAGCTCTAGGCTGGAGTTCATGCTCGAGTCCACATCTCCAAGAAGAGCCTGGGCCTGGTTAACGTAGTATGGATACTTCAACTGGCACGATAAGATCATCACTGGAAGATGGTTTCTAACCCCCGATTTTTGAGAACTTTGCTGGCTGTTGCTATTATCCTCCTCGTCGTCGTCTCGATGGTGTAGCAGTTCATGCATGAAGAAGCTAGAAAGCCTGGCAACCGTGAGAACCATCCCCGAGAGAAGGACGATCTCCTGCGAGGATCTTCCCTGCTCTAGCAGCGAGAAGAAAGCTCCCCAAACTGGTATCATGAGGCTGCTCATGGCGATGGTGGAGCCGTGCACTCCTCGAAGGCCTCGCATTTCCAGCAAACTCCCCAGGCCGACGCAGACGAGGCCACTGAAAAGCAGCGGACACCACGGTAGCGTTTGTGCTTCGCTCACGAGACTAGTCCAGGAGTTGAGGTGGCTCAGCTCCACTCCAGCGTTGAGGATCGAGAGAAGCGACAGCTGAATCGCATTTAATCGCACGGGGTCTCGGTTCCTTCCAAGTGACTCCGATCGAAGAAGCTGGAGGATGGAGAAGGATGCCTCGACAATCGCCCAGGTGTTGTCACACGGTGGTAGAAGAATTCCCTTCCATCCAGCTCCTTCTTCTTCCAGGAGTCCCATGCCTGCCATGGACGACCAAAGTTCTAAGTCAACGACTTTAACAAGAAAAGAAGTTGCCAATTCCAACTCAAAACGATCATGAAGACCACGAACTTACCGAGGAGAGCCGCCGTGATAGTCAGCCATGTAACTTTGCTTGATCCCCCGGCATAGAGCTGCATGACGGGAATGCCAACAACCTGTAAAACGAAGATCAAAACCTACGCGTTCTTTACGATCGAGCTCACCGTCAATGCATAGAGCAGTGAAGCCGCGTTCATGTCCGTGCTTCTCGGGCTGCTACTCGAGAGAAGGCTGTGAACAAACGTCCACAAGCTAAGCTCCACTCCAGCTCGAATGTGGCCGCCATCGTCGCTCTTGAGGCTTCGAATCAGAAACGGAAGGAACACAAGCGACGCCGACGCGTATTTGACTGCCGAGTTTAAAGTTGCTGGAGCTGCTCCTGCGTCCACGAACTTGGAGATTACGTTTCCAAGGCCATAGAGCGCAGCAAGCAAATTCAGTAGCACCAGCTTGTCTCGATGATCTTTCTTAGATCCATCCAAGCACTGGGGAAGACAAGAAAGATCAGCTCGGACTCGAACTTTCTCGACGATACTCACGACTTTTGGCGCGGAGGGCGTGGAGGAACATCTTCTGGAGGCGGGAGCAAAGCCGCGCGAAGGTTTTCTCGAGGCCCTGTTGAGACGAGCCAGGATCTTGACGACGGTGTTCTTGCGCAGCCTTCGTATGCCATTTCGCCCGTTTGCAACGTTGTATTTCTTCTGGGGGGAGAGGGCCACAGCCGGGGCGCCAATTAAGAGATCGCTCAAGGACTGCTGGCTGCAAGAGCGACGCATTTGCAATGGGTTTCTTGGATCCCTTGTTGCGGAACAAGCTTCTCGCGCGAAAGATCGATCGTCTATGGAGAAGGTGTGAAGAGTTTATAGTACCTGGTTTTGTCTGAGGTTGTCTTTATCACTGTGGGTTCGTGGATCCTCCATGCTGCAACCAGCACCGCTAGAAACTCCGTTGTCAACAGTGGCATATTCGCAATCGCGTCAGGCGGCCTGGCCTCGTGCCAAACACGAGAAAAGATCTTTCGCTTGTACCTCTACTCGCTTTTGCTTTCTTCTACGTCACGTATACATGGGAAGATGCTCTCCAAATCAATTGAAATTTCTCCATGCGAAGCTCACATCCGAGGGACACGTTTCCGGAATCGTTACAATAGCTCCAGAAAGGAAAGTTCGAGCTGGAAATGCCAAAGAAAGGTATTTGTCACTTGTCATTGACAAAATGCCCACCCCCCAGGTCGAAAGTTCAATCCTCTCTCACCTCTAGATTTTTGTGGAAGAACGTCATCATGATAAATCTGAGTGACCTTGAAGTTGAGCCTCTCTCACCCGTGTATTTTAGCAAAATGCACGAGGCACACATTACTCCATGCACGATATCCCGGATCAAAATGGGCGGTTGTCCAAATGCGTACTATTGACAGATTTCGAGGAGTTCAAGCTTTCCTCAACACACTTTGCAAATGCAATATGTGTAGATCTTAAAGCTTTTGATTTATACCAAGGTTGGGAGTTCAAGCTTCTCTTGCAAATGCCCAAATTGGCCAGAAACAATTTGAGCATGGTTGCCAGCGCGTCATAGCTATAGAGGCATGCTCAAGTCGAGAGTTCGATCCTCTCTCACCCCAAACTATGAAAAGAGCTTCTTTCCTCATGTCAAATAAAAATAAAGATGCTTTATCTCCAAAAGCAAATGCCAAAGAACCCATCGCCATTTTACCATTATGAGCGTGTCTGGCCAGCGCGTAAAGCTCGGCATCCTTTAGAAAAATGCACTCCACCTACGCTGCAAGGGCAACACGATGCGCAAATGACTAACTTTGTTTTTATTTATTCTGATCTTTCTCATCATAGCACCATGGGATGGTGGCGCGTAGCTATGGAGGCAGCCTTCCTGAGGTCGAGAGCGATCCGTGTGCTTGATGCCCAGAGCGGGCATTTTACGTGTCGAGAACCTCGGACAAGAAGTCTCTCGTGGCCGACTCGAGTTTGATCCTTTCCCACTCCAAGTAAATTAACTTTGGTAGTGCTACGGGCATCATTAATCCTTACCGATTTTGTAAATCTCCCCCAGTGGCAGGCATATCTCGTCGTACCTGTTGTGCTTCCAAAATTCTCGACGGACGGCCCACTCTCCATTGAGCACGACATCTGCATAAAACAGAAGCTGGCAACTCCAGCACAAAGAAAGATGGGAAAAAAAAAAGCCGGCCATTGCCTATTAAGGTGGCTCGGTCTTTTCAGCAACTAGGTGCATACGACAGTCCAGCGCGCGTGGTTACGCAGTCCATGTACCACTCATCGCTATCACTTTTGGGGTGCGCTTAAAAACCCCACTCTTTCTCTCGAGTGGAGATAAGATCATCGATCAATCGCTCCGTAGCCGCGAAAAGAATGAAGTTCTTCGTTTTGTTGGCGTTTGCGTGCATCGCATTGTCGAGCCTGAATGGAGCCAAGAGTAAGGATATCGCTGGTTTCTCACACAGAAACTTATGGTTCTTCCATTTTGTCAGACCGGGCCGAGGGAGGAACACTCGGTACGAACCAGCTGAATCCAAGTACTGAGATTTTTCTCTTCTCTTTTTCTTTTCTTGTTTACAAGCTTTTCCTCGCAGTTGGTCGCAAGCTGATTGACAGACCAGGTACTTCGTTTGTATTGTTTAGTGGCGCATTATATAACACTCGCAGATGCTTTCTTCTTTCGTTTTTTCAGGTGGTGTACCAGTTCCGACGAAGCCTGCACCCGGAGACGAACCCAAGCTAACTCCAGGAGCTGATCCTTTACCATCGCCCGGAAATGAGCCAAAGCCGCAGCCAGGTTGGTTACAAGTTCTTCTCAACCATCATTTTTCTTCCTTTCATTTTACCAAAGCCAAATCCAGGAGACGAGCCAAAGCCAAACCCAGGAGACGAGCCAAAGCCAAACCCAGGGGATGAACCAGGTCCGCACACTTCATTCTTGCAAGCTTGTCATTGTATTTGTCTGCCAGGGAACGAACCAAAGCCAAACCCAGGAGACGAGCCAAAGCCAAACCCAGGGGATGAACCAGGTCTGCACACTTCCTTTTTTTGCAAGTTTGTCATTGTGTTCGTCTGCCAGGGAGCGAACCAAGGCCAAACCCAGGAGACGAACCAAAGCCAAACCCAGGAGACGAGCCAAAGCCAAACCCAGGAGACGAGCCAAAGCCAAACCCAGGAGACGAGCCAAAGCCAAACCCAGGAGACGAGCCAAAGCCAAATCCAGGAGACGAGCCAAAGCCAAACCCAGGAGACGAACCTTTGCCACAGCCAGGTCTGTATAGCATGTTTTCAATGACTGATTCATTCATCACGAACCATTGCCAAAACCAGGAAGAGCAAGGCCGAATCCGAAGCCTGAACCAAAGCCAGGTCTTTTCTGTTTCCCTTTCCGGTTTCCAACTTTTTATTTTGTGCAGAACCGCGTCCTGGAGGCAAACCACTTCCTGGAAACAAACCCAGGCCAGGTTTGCACTTTTCTATCAGCTTTCTACCTACTTTATTTCCTTTTTCTCCAGGCAAAGGCCCACTTCCAAAACCCGGTGATGAGCCAAAACCAGGTACGTCTTCAGATATGCGGTGTTAAAGCTTTGCTGACTGATAATGTGCAGGTGATGGACCAGTTCCAATACCGTGAGCACAGATGGTGCGAATGTATAGATGTGTGTGAGCACTGAGAGATATAATAGTAAACGAGGTGTAAAAGTTTTCATGTTGTTCTTTGAAATGTGTCGATTCTCAATCACACCATTTCAGCTGCTTGCCCGCCCAAACACCTCCAAAGACTTGCCTTGCCGTCTTACCGAGCAGCCACTCCAGCTCGTCTCGGGACACGGTACCGTGATCACACGCAGCGTGTAGAATGCCTACCGCGTTACTGTATCCACACTCATGATTTACAAAAGGAAAATCACTGCCACACGAAAGGAAAGACTGTCAATCTGATCGTTTTTTGTGACTTCTTGCTTACCTTCCCCACATGAGTCTGCTAGGACCGTAGACATCCAGCAGCCGACGCAGCATTGTCCAAGTATCCTTGTACGGGAATGACTCTCGCGAAACTCGAAAGAATGCGCTCACTTTGACGTAGACCTGTGAAGAAGTTTTTTCTTTTGTGTAAGTGCATAAGATTATACATAGTGTAAGCAAACCTGTGGATATCGAGCGAGGCCCAGGAGCGAGTTCCATGTTGCAGCTTCCTCTTCGGTGCTAGAAACACGACACAGAAGAGTAAAGCCAACAGTGAGCTGGATTACGAATTTGAGCAGCTCACACGGCCGGCTTGCAGAAGCCAAAGTGATCAATCAAGACAGTGGTCGATGGATACAGAGAACACAATGTCTCGATCTCCTCTATGTGAAGAGAGAGTCCCTGATTCATTTACAAAGAAGATCAAGGATCACGAAATCTTTAAAGTGAAGTCTACCTTGAAGCACATAAATCCCACCGGTATGCCAAGCTGCCCGGCCTTTGCAAACATTCGCTTGCCAACTTCGTTGGTCATCTGTGCACGAAAAGAGTGAGTTTGAAACAAAAGCTTTCTGGTCAAAGGCTTGCCTTCTCTCCAGACGGCCACAAGTATGGATTGAAGCGCACAGCCCGGTATCCATCCTGCGAGGCAAAAGTTTGTAGCAAAAGCAGGAAAAAGGAAGAAGCAACTTACTTGCTCAACTAAGCGTTCGAGTTCTGCCAAGCCACGCCCGTCTTGTTCGGGGTTTCCCAAGCAGCACCCAACGAATTTCTCAGGGTGGTTTTGCAGCACACTGCTGATTCCACATTGGTGCTTCTGGAAGAAAAAGATCCTAAGAACATCACCTTGTTACATAGGAGTGATCAAACTTGTGGTTGATGGGCTGGACAATCAGAGCGCCAGCAACGTTAGCCTCACAAAGCTTCTGAAAGCCGAGACATGGAACACCCATTTGATCAAGAGAGAAGAAAGAAAAGAGAAACAACTGACATCGAGAAGGAGTTGAATGCTTCCATCGATTGTGGGTTCTTGGCCAGGAAAATACGGAAACTCTTGTGCCTGATGAACAAGCATTACTTATCTGTTTCCAAGCTCGACAATTTAACCTCTTTCTTTGACGCCCAGACGTGCAAATGGCTATCCACAATCCTGTCACTGCTACTCGCCATAGCCAAAACTTGCCTGGAGTGACGAAGCAAAAACGAAATAAGCAAAGCCGCAACTTGAAAGACACTCGCCTCTTGTTTGCGATCAAGGCGGCATTGTGTTTGATCGCACCACAAAAGCGAAACCCTGTCGACGAGACTAAAGCCATTGTCCCATGAAAATCCTTGTTTTTTTTTTTTTTTTTTTTTCTGTCAAGTTATCAATGCAAGAATCCAAGTTTGCAAATTCTTTGCTTGGATCTGTGATCCATGCGAGCGATGGATCAATCGAATTTTAATTATAATAAAAATCAATGTTGTCCAAACTTGGTACTTTTTTCTTGTTTTGTATATACACAATTCATTGTCTGCTTGCCTGTACACTTCCTTGCTCGGTCAGGATGAATTTGCGCAGATCCTTGTACACCTCCAGCTCCTCCAGCGCTTCGCTCGTTGTCTTGAGGCTCTTGGTCATCTGCTGCTGTCGATAAACATGATGCGGTGCTTGATACGCTGCCACGCTTGCTTGATACCTGTGCTGCTGCACTGCTCCTGGAATGGGACGGCTCTTTGATCTTACCACCTGGTGTGTCGCCTCGGGCGATGCCACTGCTGCCATGTCCACCTCTCCTCCTGCTAGTGACCACGATCGCCCCTGCAGTGGCGGGGCTGATTTGAGAAGCCTCACGAGTGCGCCGACCGCAGCATGCTGCGACTTTGGTCCGGAGGCTTCGAAGACATTGGTATGTCGAGTCCGGGGACTTCTGATAGTTACAAAGTGTGAGGACAGAGAAAAGATCCGGAAAAACAAACACTCCAAACAAACCTGCTTTGGAGCTCCTCGTCGTCCTCGTCCACCGCGAAGGGACAAGCGAATTCCTCGTCGTCCGTGTCGTCACGGAGTTTGCTGGACGATCTCGACAGCGAGACGCGAGGGGAGCCGTAGAGGGAACGCTTGACACCAGAGGGAGGCCCTTCATCTCCCTAAGTGGACAAAGTCAGCCAAGCGGCACAAAGAGAACCGTAAGAAACATGCTTACCTGACTCGATTGGTATGGATGAGGAGGAGATATCAGCAGCATCGATTCTGCGAGCGTCGACGCCGACAGCCGTGGGGGCACATCCCCTCGGGCACCGGAGAGATTGGAGCTCGCGTAGACATGCTGAGGTGGCTGCTCGAAGCTCCTCCTCGGAGTTGGCGGAGGAAGCGCACTCCTGTCGTGCAGGCCCCGGACGCTCGAAGGCTTTGGGATGCTAACCGGCGCGGTGGAGTGCCTCGGCAAGTATCTGGCAAGGCTGCTCTCCAGCGAGTGGCACGTCCCCGGCGGCGAGGGATTCGGCGGAGAGAGCCTCGACCTCTGCTGCTGCTGCTCGTAGATTGGAATCGGCTGGCTATGGTTGGTCCTGGTAGTCGGAGGAGCAACCGGGGAGTGCTGGCGAGAGGAGGGCGAGCTGCCGAAAGATGGTGACGAAGGTGGCAGAAGCGTCGGCGACTGGAGCTTGTTGAGCCCGCCACCCCAGCTGTGGCGGCGTCCAATCCCGGATGGCGGGCTCGGCACGGAAGTTGGCACGGAGACAACGTGAACTCCCCGCCTTCCAGAAATCCCCCCGCAAGGAACCGACCCCGTGAAAGAGTCCGCCGACAGCCTCCGCAAAGGATCCGTCGTGGGGCTGCCAACGTAGTCCGCGATGATCCTGGGAAGAATCGCGGGAGTCACCTCCAGCGCGGTCACGGCGGTGGTGTGGCGGTACGCCACCGAGACGGCCAGCCGGCCCATCGGGGTCTCCACTGGAGCAAAGCCGCGAACTTCCATGGCCGCTTCATCCGGGAGCAATGGTGGCGGCGACGCCCAGACCTTGAAACCCAGGCTGAAGCTCCGGCTCTGCGACGACGAGGTGGCGAGGTGGAAGAGGCGATGGGCCGGGAGAGTCCGGACCGAGCAGTAGAGCGTCCTCATGAGGATGGTGGCGCGCTTGTAAATCCCTGGAACTTCTAGCGCGTGGCTGCTGCTAGACCCGCTGCGTCGCTGGCTAAACCGCTCGTGGCTGATCGTCCATCTCTCGAGCACTGTCCCGTAAGAGTCCTCGACCTCCCCTTCGCTCCACGAGTCCGGAGTCCCCGGCCCTCCTCCTCCACGAAACCTGTGATCCCCGGAAGATCTATCCAGGAGAATGTCCACCACCATGGGAGGATGATCTCCGGGGCCCCTCCTCCAGGGCTCCGCGCTCTCCAGCGCCGCGGGGCAGTCCCCAAGCACCAGATTAAACCAGCGGTCCTTGGAGGAGGAGGAGGAGGCCGGAGAGGGCGAATCCCTACCTGGCTGCGACGAGGAGTTGGAGGAGGAGCACGGGATCCTGGCCTCGAGAATGATGTGGAGGCATTTGACGAAAAACTCGACAATGATCTGCTCCGTCTTGGACATTGACAAGGAGCCCGCCATTGTCGTCACTCGTGGCGCTGTTCTTCCTCCTCCTGTTCTTGCTTGCCCCGCATGACCGAACGATCACCCCATGCCCTCTCTCTCCTCCCTTCCCCGGCGTCACAAGAACTCGCGCAAAAGGCTTCTCCCTTTTCCCTGGGAATGGAATCCGACAGCGTCTCCCCCTCCATTGCTGCCGTGATGCGCAAATCTCATGGCGATCTCCCCCTCCACTGCCGCCTGGGTTTACCTCGATGGAGGAGAGAGATAGTAGCGCCCGTCGTGGAACCCTAACCCTAGGGGCTTCTCTCCTTCCTCTGTATTCTTAAACTATAAGGTTCCAGAACATTATAAAAGTTTATTATTTCGTGAAGAGGATGAAGAACACACACAATAAAAAACCATAGGGAAGCAAGCGCCACACACACACGCACACGATCAAACCCAGATGGAAGAAAGAAAGAACGAAGAAGAAATCCAAGCCAGCCCAGCGCGTAGCATCCTCTACTCGTCCTCCGTCTCGGTCTCGGCCTCGGCGTTCTCCAGCCACTGTATGAACGGCTCCACCGCCTTCTTGACGTTCTCGGCCTTGGCTCCCACCAGCGGCGATGGCTTGGACGAATACCACTCGAGGATGTGCTCCTCCTCCAGCACGTCCGCGTCGTACAGGAACTTGAGCACCAAGAGCATCTGCTTGGACACGTCCACCCCGGTGGACGCGAACACCTCCATCGCCACCAGCAAGTTCTTCTGGCAGCTCTCGTCCTGCACCACCGCTTCGAGGTACTCCTTGGACTTCTTCACCTCCTTGAACAGATCCTTGCTCACGCCGTCGAACAACGCCTGGAAGTAGGCCACCATCACGTCCAGCGGCGGATCCGGCTTGTTGAGCACCAGGGACGCGGCCTCGGCGGCGGAGCAGCCGCTCGCGATCTTCCCCTTGAGATCCTTCACCAGCTTGTCGTGCAGGCTCAGCTCCTGGAGCTTGGGAATGTCGGCCTCCTTGATATCCGACTTCTTGGACGAGAGGGACTTCCTCATCTTCGACTTGCCGCCGCCGACGCCCACGCGGGGGGAGTCCACCGGCTTGTTCTCCTCGGGCTCCGCCAGCATCACCATCTCCGTCGTCACGCTGGTGAGCTGCTCCTTCATCCGCTGCTTTGCCGCCTCAGCAGAGGTATCGGCCTGCCACTGCACGTCGTCCTCGTCCTCCGCCACCTCCTCGTCGTCCGCCTGGCTCGCCACGGGCGAGAGTTCCTCCTCCTCGTCAGACCCGGGCTTCTTCTTGGGCGCCTTCTTGTCCTCGTCCTTCTTCTTCCGGCTACCTTCCTTCTTGGACTTCTTCATCTCCTCGTCCGCAAGCTCGCCCTCCTGCAGCCGCTCCTTCTCGGCCCGGCGCAGCTTCTTGTCCTTGCCCGACTTCTTCTGCTCGGGCGGGTTCTTCACAATGAACGTCGTCAGCTTGTCCCGCATGTCCACGTTGGAGATGTAGCCACAAGCCGCGCAGTTGAGCGTGATCATCCCCGCCTTGCTCACAAGTATCTCAGTTTCCGGGTTGCTACAGCCATAGCACTGCACGTACTTCTTGATGAAGTGCTCCAGCAACGCCGCCAGCTTCCCGTGGTCGTGAGCCCCGTTCACGATCGAGGTCCCCGTCTTCTCATCAAACTTCGACTGCGCTCCCAACTCGCAGCCAAAGTACTTGGTCGTGTAGGCCGGGGGGCGGGCGAGCGCCTTGGCAACGTCCACCATGTTGACGATGTTGGTCTTGATACCATTGCCGCGGCCCTCGATCTTGGTCATCAGCCGGGGCATCTTGTACCTGTAGAAGGCGTCATCCTTGTTGCTAGCACCGATGTTGAGGAGCGCCATGTTGGTGTTTCCGAAGGAAGAAAAAAGAGGACGCGCTGGAGGTGAGGATCAGCTCAGGATGATGCCGGGGTCCTGGAGGAGCTCTTCCTGGGGGCCGAGAGTTGCCGCATGCAGCACCAAGGTGGCGGTGGCGATGGCGGGCAGAGAGGCGAGCTCCTGCGGCTTATGTCTGTTCCTCGTTGTAGGGCAGTACTGCCCAAGCAACCCAACCAAACCCAAGTATATGGCGACGCCTTCAGACATAAAAGAAACTACTGCAGCCACCCTTGTCGCAACGCGCAGGAGCCTCGCAGCGCCTTCGAATCGCAGCACGGGCAGTGAATTTCGCTCCCACGAACCCTAGAAAACACGAATCAGCCGCTTTAGCTCAATCCAATATCAATCAGTCAATCAATCATTCGCTCGAGCAAGCGCTCACTCACCTGCGTGGCGCCGCCGACCGCTGCCACAATCGCTGCGATCCAAGGCGATAGAGAATCGAGAGCCTCTCTCTCTCCCTCGCGGCGCTCCTCTGCTCCTGTGCGCGGCGAAACCAGAGTAAGGGTTTTCTAGACAAGGCACAATGGCATAGAGAGCGCTGCCCAACAGGAGCGCGCCACGTGCCACGCCAATTCCCCTCCGATTCGCCCAACCGCTGGATATTGTTGTGGCTCCAAGATTAGGTCACCCCTTGGCGGCGAAAACCAAACCATGTTAGGGCTTTTTTATGCTATGTGGGTTCGAATCTTACGCGCCAAGACATTTATGCCAGCGTGGCATTTCTCTATGGCGCTTAAAATCACATGAATTTTAGGGCAGCGGGGATTCTTAGGGCTACAGCAATGGAGGCGTCCAGGCTCGTGCTGCGCCGGGCGTTCGCGAGGTCTGCGTCCTCCGCCAAGCGCAAGGTAGTGATTCTGGGGGCCAATGGAGGGATCGGCCAGCCGCTATCGCTGCTCATGAAGCTCAGCCCTCTCGTGTCGGATTTGGGCTTGTATGACATTGTGGGCACTCCTGGCGTCGCCGCGGATGTCAGTCACGTCAATTCCAGGGCACAGGTAGAATTTGAGCTGTTGCTGTGATGTTCTTGGGCAGGATTTCTTCCTTCTCAAAACTTAAGCAGGTAAAAGAGAAAAATTGCCAGAATTTTTGTCCTTCGTTTTTCTCTTTCTCTTCTAACTTCTGAATTTAGGTGGCAGGCTTTGCAGGAGAGGAAAATCTTGGCAAATGCCTCAAGGATGCAGATCTCGTCATTATCCCAGCTGGAGTTCCTCGCAAGCCGGGAATGGATCGGGATGATCTTTTCAACATAAATGCTGGTATTGTCCAAACGTTGTGCGCCGCTGTTGCGAAGAACTGCCCCAAGGTACCTTCATTTCTCGCTTCTCATCCTGTAATCTTTGGACTATCGTCAGGCGCTGGTGAATATTATCAGCAATCCCGTGAACTCGACAGTGCCTATAGCAGCGGAGGTGTTTAAGAAATCTGGGACTTACGATCCCAGCAGATTGTTTGGCGTTACTACGCTTGATGTCGTGCGAGCAAGGACGTTCTTGGCATCAGCGAAGAAGCTCAATCCATCTGGTAAGAAAGTGCCTGTGATCACTTTTAAAGGAATTAACATCGTTATCTCTTTCTTTTCCTTTTTTTTTTTTTTTCTGAATCGAAGAGGTTGATCTTCCTGTCATTGGAGGTCATGCTGGCGCCACTATCTTGCCGCTTTTCTCTCAGGTTGTTTTTCTTGCATTTTTCTGGTTTACAACAGATCATTCTTTCGAATTATATAGTGAACCCGTTCAATGAACTCAGTTGCATGGCTGACAGGCAAGTCCCAAAGTTTCCTTGTCAACAAAAGAGCTCGATGCTCTAACCAAGCGGACACAAGACGGTGGCACGGAGGTTGTCAAGGCGAAAGCCGGAAAAGGCTCTGCGACGTTATCCATGGCGTAAGCTCTCTTTTTTGTCAGGAACTCCATTGTTAACAACACACTCTCGTTCTTCAACTTTATCCAGATATGCTGGAGCTCTCTTTGCCGAGGCCTGTTTAAAGGGATTGAACGGTGTTAATAACGTGATAGAATGCACGTACGTGGAATCGTCAGTAGTTCCCGGGTTGTCGTTCTTCTCGTCCAAGGTACGTTTTTTCTTTTATGTGAAACGAGTAAAGTTCCTGATAGCGCAATGGCTTGATAGGTTCGGTTGGGGAAAGAGGGAGTGGACGAGATTTTAGAGCTAGGAAGCCTCTCAGACTACGAACAAAAGGGACTAGAAGCGATGAAAGATGAATTGAAGAAGTCGATCGAGAAAGGCCGGAAGTTTGTGCAGAGCGGTGGTGGTGGCGGTGGAGGAAAGAAAAAGAAGAAGTAATCTGCCCCGTGATCACAGGGACAGGGACACATACGGTGTACAGATAGTTCGTTTGCGATGATTTCTTTTGATATTTCTGGGGATTCCATTCTCTTGGCATGGCCACGCTTTCAGGTACTTAGATTTATACTTGTGGAGATTTTGAAAAGCGGTCTATTGGTTTTCTCTTTTTACAAGACGCTCTTTTGGCAAACATAATAATGTCTGGCATCTAGACTTCATGCATGTTGTGAGTGCGAGCGCTAGTGGTTTCGATATTCCGCCGAGCACTGGGACGAGATTTTTCGCCAGTTGGAGCACTTGAGCACGAGAACTTTAGGCGGCAAACTCTGCGTGCTTGAGCTTTCTCTTTCGTCGCAAAGAAACAGCGAGAGTGAGAGCGAAAGAGAAAACAAAAGCATGCCTGGAAGTTCTTCGTTGTCAACAGTGTCCACGATTTGGAGGGGCCGAAAAGGATCTGGAAAGGTAGAACTATTTGGCGCCTCTACTATCGCAGCTTCAATGGTCTCATCATCTCGTTGTCTTCGTGGTCCAAAATCTGCAAAGCCAGAACAGAAAAGCTTAGAACGACAAGATGTGTCAGTACGGACGAGAACGTGCGTACGGCAGCATGTAGTACGAACATAGGGGTGTTCTACCGTACTTGAGTACGGTAGAACCCGTTTCTAGGGTTCTTGGAAGAACTTACGTGACAGTGGTATGCGTAGCCCGGCTCCGCGGATGCGTCGAAAGGATATGGCCGCCCGTCGATGCCCGCGAATCGCACGAGGAACCTGGTGAGGTACCCGGGCTTCATCTTGTACACATTCTTCCACCCGGCCTCGTTGCGCGGCGGGCGCCTCCTCGGGCTGGATCGATCGATGAATCGCGCCGCGTTGCACGAGGCGTTCATCCGGTTCCCGTTGGCCAGTAGGCAGCGGCGGAGATCCTCGGCGCTGCTAAGCCGCGCCTCGTCGATCACCTGGAAGGCGGCGAGGTGGAGGTGGAGCGGGTGATTGTCCTCGGTGAGGTTGATCACGCTCCACAGCTCGGTGCTGCCGCATCGCGGCGTCTCCGTGGCGGGGGCGTCGAAGGGCAGCGCGTTGATCCACAGGTGCGTCGGCTCGTCGGAGGAGCTCACGAATTCGTAGAGGTTGATCTGGCGGGCGCTGGAGGATTGCTCGATCGCCAGGCGCTGGATGGGAACCAGGAAGCGCGGGATTGTGCTGGGATCCAGCTGCTGCGACGATCTGGGCGCAACGAGGAATTTCATCACCACGCCATTGTTGGAATCGACCGCGTCGCCGCCAGGGAATGGGAACGCCGCCGTGTTCCTGAGCAGGACCTCGTCCCGTCGCGCCTGGGTGAAATCGATGATCACGTCCTGGATCTCCGAGGGCGCGATCGTGAGTCGCCTGGCGCGGATCGGGCGGGGGAGATAGAATGCGTCGGAGCCGATTTGCGTGAAGGTCAGCAGCGAGCCGGAATCGTCGTTGCTGGAGGATCCAGCGCTATGATCGGAGAGGCGGAGCTCGTAGAATCGAGCATTGCTGCTGTTGATGATCCGGAACCGGTACTTGCGCTTGGCGACGCGGAGGAAAGGCCAGGCCTTTCCATTCACCAGGATCACCGAGCCGAAATATTCTGGCTAGAACACCAAGAACACATCGATCAAGATCGCAACAACTTCTTCCAAGGACACCAAGAAATCCAGAGATTTCGTTCTTACTTGCCACTGCGGATGGATCTTGGGATTGTTGCCCTTGGAATTCATGTAGATCGATCCGTCCTTGTTGAAATCCCGGTCCGCGATGATCAAGACGCGATCGAAATCCTTGCCGCTGGGGAGATTCATCCGGCGCTCCAGCGCGGGGTCGCGGATCACGTACGCGCCCGAGAGCCCGGCGAGGATGTTCGCCCTGGTAAGCCCCATGGCGTGATCGTGATACCAGAGATTGGCGGCGCCCTGCGCATTGCGATAGAAGGAAGATTTCGCGCGCCATGCCGGGCCGCGATCCTTGAATCCGGGCGTGAACCAGGCGAGCGAGTGGCCATCGCTGGCGGGATCGTTCATCCCGCCATGGAGGTGGACGACGGTGGGGATTCCGCCGTGGCGCGGAATGGCCGTGGCGATGGTGAGATCCAACGGCAGGATGTGCTTCTTGGGGAGGTGATTCTCCCACGTAATCTCCACGGGGATGCCATTCCGGGCCTCGATCGTTGGCCCCGGAATGGTCGCCTCCTTGTGGCTCCGGCCGTATGCAAACACTGGCGTGGCAGGGAGATCGCGGTGGAATTTCTGGAAGCATCGAATTCACAGCACAGCACAGCATGGATGAGATCGATCGAAAGATCGAATGTATGGTCTCACCCATCTCGTTGGAAACATCCCGATTGTGAGATTGGCGGGCTTGATCATCGCGCCGGATTGCTCCTCCTGGAACGCGCACAGGACGGGGATTTGCGGGAGCTCGTCCACAAACTTTTCCAGTCCCGTTGCGTTGAGGCTCTGGCTGCTCGCGCGATTGCTTCCAAAGATCCCCAGCAGCAGCGCCAGTAGCAGGAGGATCAAATCCATTCGCCTCCTCCAAATTCTCCAATCCCCTGCAATTTCAGAGTAAAATCACTCTTCCTTCTCTCCGGCGGCCACGAGAACTGGATCGATGGATGATCAGTGGAAACACCCATGCGCGCATCTGGACCCTTGATATCGCGATCATCGACGGTGACGCGCACACACTCTTCTTCCAGTTTGTTTGTTGCGCCCGCGAAATCGCTGGGTTTTACTATTTGTTTACTCGTTTCAACTTTGACCATCAAATCCAGTAAAAAAAAAAATGGAAAGGAAGAAAAGGTCGTAAAAAAAGAGAACAGGTCGTGCGGTGAGCGTGGATCGAACACGCGACCTTCAGATCTTCAGTCTGACGCTCTCCCAACTGAGCTATCCCCGCAACGTTGAAGCTTTCCCTTCTTAAATCCTGTCTATTTAGACATTGTCGCCAACTTTACCACCTGACTCGCCACCTCCCATCTCGTTGGAGCTCTGAAGAATCGGCCGAGAAATCAGTCGTATACCCTGATATATCCGCTCACGCTTTGCCTACACACCGGGCACCTCGCGTTGGCGGCGTTCTGGCTGTGGCGGATTCGGCGAGCGCATCCCATGCAGCAGACGCGATGGCCGCACGTAATGAATGCCGCTCGCTTCCTCCGCAGCAAGCACACCACGCACAGTTGCCCGTCCGGGACCTCGGACCCCTCCTGCGTCGTCGCCGGCTCCTCGTCCTCCTCCATCACTTGCTCCTCGCGGCGCAGCTCCTCCTGGATTTGCCGCAACCTTCTCCACTCTTTCCATTTACACCAGTTCCTGTGGAGTGAGCGAGCGTTAGCTTCGCTGGAATGGAAGAGACACAAGAGGAGAGCTTACTTGAAGGCAGAATAGCCGATAACTCCCAGTGCCAGAGAGCTGATCACGATCCCAGTCCAGAAAAGAGCATGAGTGGCGCTGGTTAGTTCCACGATCAGTTCTTCCCTGCTAAACTCCGTCCTGGCTCAGGAGAAAAGCATTAGTGTCAAAAACGATTGAGGCGTACATACAAGAAGAAAGGCATCTGGTTGGAAGACTTAATAGCCGGGAGGCCTTGGGGATGTTTGCTCAGGAATCCTACAGCGGTTATCTCTCGGTTGAGTGGAAGGATTTTTTCCTCGTCGATGACACCAACCTGACAAAACAAACAAGAATCAAATCGTTTCGTGGTCAAAGGGAAAACGATATTTGTGCGTACTGGGTACCGTCGACCGAAGACTGCTTGAAGAAAAGTGGAGGACGATGTTTGAACTGGATGCAGCTGGTGAAACACCGTCACAAGCGGCAAAGGATGCTCCACATTTTCCATGTTGATGTGAACACAAGCACCATCGTATTGAGGATCACTGTCGAGTAGAACAAACGGGATCTAAAAGTCGCAAGAAAACATAAGAACTGAGAGACCATCAACAAAAGTTGGCGACTAACCTTCCTCCTGGAGAAGGCGACTTGCTCCTTGAGAGATCCCCAGCCTAAAAGGCCTCGCCATTCGGGTCCCCACCGAAAGAGTCCTCTCCACTCGTTGAAGAGATACTGCCAATGCTCACAAGATCAGAAAACTCTCTTTCTAAGTAGAAGAAAGAAATCGAGATGCTCACAGTTTGCGTTCTCTCCACAAAGACTGCCAAATCTGTTTGATTCCTCGCAAGCAGGACCTCCTCGCTGCTCGTCTTTGGCGGCAAAGCCACTCGGCCTCTCACGATTACCAGCGGCGGGGAAGAGTCCGACGATGGTTCTTTCTCACCGCTCTCGACCAAGCTCCGGAGATCGTGAATTTCTACCTGCGCCGTGCCTTCCACCTGCTTGAGCGCCCGGGTGTGGGAGCCAAATTTGAGCCAGGTCCGGAGCGCCAGCGCTGCCATACCTAGGCCGAGGACGATGCCGTCGCCCGCCATCGCCAGGCGAGTGAGCGCCGCGCAAATCTCCTCGTCATGCGATGCCATTTCTCGAAAATCCCTAAACCCTAGAAACAATTCGCAACACTTTTTCTTATTCAAATAAAGGTATTACATTAAACTCGTATAATTTTCAAGGGGAAGACGGCGTAGGGTCATCTGAAGTACCGGGCGTACTATACGAGGTAAAGGGATCGGGCATGGGCATGGGCATTGCCGGCATTGGCATATCCGGCATGGGCATATCCGGCATTGGCATATACGGCTCGGGTTCCTTTGGAGATGATTCGTCGCAACCTGATCATAGAAGAAGAAGAAAAAGACTATCAGTGACAAACTTCCAATAAATCTCTCGGGACCTGGCTTTGGTTCTGGTTGATCTTGTGGATTTGGCTTGGGCTTGGGCTTCGGTTTTGGCTTTGGATTCGCATCTGGTTTTGGCATTGGTTTCGGCTTGGGCGCCTCAGCTGCACAAATGAAATCATGGATTAGAGTCAGTAGCAGCAAAGATGTAGAAACTCCTGCCTGATTTTGGGGAGTCACTGTAATATCCTGCATTGCCAGCATACAACAGAGTTAGAGAAATCTACAAACTATACTTAGGATCATACCGCCGTCAGTTAGCAATTTGCGAGCAACTGCACAAGAGAACGAAAGGAATCAAAAGCCAAGATCAGTCGATCATATAATATTTGCAAGCAGTTTCTCGCAGAAATCTACCTGGCGTTGCAGTGTCTGCGAGCAAGATGATAAAAGAGTTACTACAACATGATATACCGATCGAAAGAGATTGAAGGGCATGGCACTAACCAGCATTGCGCTTCTTTTCTTCCGCAAGACCCGAGATCGCAATGCAAGACAAGACCAATGCTAGCAACACGATCTTCATCTTTCTGGGAAGATCCTACGCCTCTGGAATTCTCACTGAAAAGCCTCGCCTTATAAACACCGCTTGGGTGTCCCGGCATCACCTTCATGCTCGTCAGGGACAGCACACGATATCATAAAGCGGAAGGTCTGCCTAATTGCTTCGCCCATAACAGCGGTTGTATAGGAGGCAATTTAGAACCGGAAATGAAAATCCAACAAAAGCACCAACTTCCATACTGTAGTACTAGAACCCACAGAAGATTAGGGTAATAACTGCAGCTGGTGGGATTGATGAACGACTCACACTAAATATTTTGGAGAGATTGTCGAGATCTTTGTCTTTGTGGTGTGGTGGTCCCGATCTTGGGCTAGCTGAATCGCAGAATCTTGTGGAAAGGTGGAGCCGTGATCTGGGAAGGGAGAATGGAGGGGCGGCCTGGTTGTGAATGAGGAGATTTGTCTCGTCGCTCCCCCACTCCGCCACTGCCAGTAGAAACCAGGGATTCATCGACCAGCTATCGTCCACTAGGAGCGCGATCGAAGTCAGGCGCATTCATGACAGGATTAGGCAGGAGTTTGATCTTTCGGCGGACAAAGTACTGGCAGAACGCCTCGTTCTTGGTTATGGCAGGCACGGAAGCATCCAATGCGCTCGCAGAGTGTTTGATGGGATTAGAGAGCCCACCTCGATCTCGTACAACATCATGTTTAATGCCTATGCCCAGAACGGGTACCATGCTGACGCCGAGAGATTCTTTGAGACGATGCCGGTGCGTGATGCCGTCGGCTGGACGATTATGCTGTCCATGTCGTCTAAGGCGGGTGATGTTGAGAAGGCTAAGAAGATCTTCTATAGAATGCCTCACAGAAGCGTGATTCCATGGAACAGCCTTATCTCAGCACATACCCAAGCCGGGCATTTTGCCACTGCGAAGAAACTCTTTGATCTGATGCCCGAGCGGACACTCGTGTCGTGGAACGCTGTTCTTCACGTTCTTGCGCAGTGCAAGACCACGCAGGTGGCGAAGAAAACGTTTGATTCCATGCCCGAGAGAAACATCGTATCGTGGAGCACGCTTGTGCTGGTATTTGCCGAGTCTGGAGATCTGGACGAGGCAACGGCGTTGTTTGATCGAATGCCGGAGAGAAACAGCGTGTCTTGGACGACCATTATCGATGCATTTGGAGAGAGCGAGTGTGTTGCCGAAGCCGAGGGGACTTTCCATAGCATGCCTCAGAAGGACGTGGTCGGATGGAACGCTCTGCTCACGGCGTATGCCCAAAACGGGCACCTCCACAAGATCAAGCTCTTGTTCGAGAAAATCCCGTGCCGCAGCGTCGTGACGCTCACGGCCATGTTTCAGGCCTTCTCGAACAGCGGCAACATCGACGAGGCGACACACGTCTTCGAGTCCATGCCCGAGAAGAATGTGGTGGCGTGGAACACAATGGTGGCGGCTTATGGCGAGAACGGGCATCTGGATCGAGCAAAAGTCACATTTGAGAGCATCCGAGAGAGGACCGTCGTGTCTTGGACGGCGCTTCTCTCCGCCTACAGCCAAAACACGAGCGTGGAGGAGGTGAGAGCCATCTTCGAGCTCATGCCGCAACACAGCATCATCTCCTGGAACACGTTGATCACGACTTACTGCCAAGGCGCCGGGGGCAGCGAGATTCATCTCCGAGAGGCCGAGATCTTGTTCGCTACAATGCCGTGTTGCAACGAGATAACGTGGAACTCGATCATGGTGGCTTACGTCCAGTCCGGCAAGATTCAAGAGGCTCAGCTCGTCTTCGACCGGATTCCAAAGTGGACCGTCATATCGTGGAACGTTTTGATGGTCGGCCTGGCCCAGAAAGGCGAGCTCGATCGAGCAAAGAGACTTTTCGACGCCACCCCGAGGCCAAACGTCGTCTCTCGCAACGCGATGATCGCAGCGTATGCCCAAAACGGGCATGTCATCGAGGCCAAGGAGCTCTTCGACGGCATGAACGAGCGAGAGAGGAATGTGGTGACTTGGAACGCGATGGTGGCGGGCTATGCGCAAAACGACCAGCTCGAGCGAGCGAGCGGGCTCTTTTGTGAGATGCCCGTGAGGAACAGAATCTCGTGGAACTGCCTCCTCGCGGCATTTGCTCACAGCGGCAGCGAGAAGATCCGGCAGGCCGAGCTCGCGTTCCAGCGGATGCCACAGTGGGACTCGGTGTCGTGGAACGCGCTAGCGGTCGCTTACGTCCAGGCCGGATTGATGGAGAAGGCGAGCATCACCTTCGAGCTCATGCCTCGGAAGGATCTGGTGTCGTGGAACTTGCTCCTGGGAGCGTATGCCCAGAACGGGTATATCACCGAAACGATCGCGCTCTTTCGAGCTTTGCAAGGTGACGGTGTGAGAGCAGATGAATCCCTCCTCACCAGCGTGCTCGCAGCGTACAGTCGCGCCGGGCTGCTCGAGCAGGGCCTCGGTTGCTTTAGATCCATCTCCTCCGACTACGAGCTGGCTCCCAGGATCGAGCACTACTGCTGCATGATCGATCTCCTGGCCCGAGCAGGGGAGCTCGCCAAGGCCGAGGAGCTCATCCAGACGATGCCGTTTTCGCCCCATGGGATCGCGTGGGGGACGATCCTTGGAGCTTGCATGACTCACAGGAATCTTGACTTGGGAGAGAAGGCCATGGCGGCAGCTGAGAACTCGTCCTTCTCGTACGTTGGTCTCGTCAATCTTTTGCGTGAGGAAGGTGGTCGACCGGTTCTTTCGGAAGAACACCCATGATCGATCAAAAGAATGCTCGATCGTTCTCGATCTTCCAGTGCTGTCGAAGTAGAAGCCTTGGATGGTCTAATCCGATCGTGCACCACGCTCGCCCAGGTGAAGAGCATCCATGCTCGGATCGATCCGGAGCTCCTGCGCGCCAGGATCTACCTCTCCAACGTTCTCATCCTTGTCTACGGCAAGTTTAAGAGTCCCAGCAGCGCAAGAGCGGTCTTCGATGGCATCCTCGACCACAAGAGAAATTCCTACTCGTGGTCTCTTCTCCTCTCCGCCTACACTCACAGCGGCGAAATTCGTGAAGCAAAGGCTCTGTTCGATCGAATGCCCGCGTGGGACTTGGTTGTTTGGAACTCTCTCTTGGGAGCGTATGCCCACTCGGGGTATGTCCTCCAAGCAAAGCTCCTGTTTGACGAGATCCCAGAGTGGAACGTGATCTCGTGGACAGCCCTCTTGACAAGCTACATCAACAGCAATGACTTCGATTCGGCTACCCGAGTGTTTTCCAGCATGGAAGAAAGGAACCTTGTGACTTGGAACGCTCTTCTATCCGGATATGCCCAAACCGGGCATATTTTGCAAACCAAACGAGTCTTTGATTGCATGGCGGAGTGGAGCTTGGTCTCATGGACCGCAATCTTATCGGCATTTTCACAAAGTGGAGACATCGAATCGGCAAAAAAGGTCTTCACATCGATGCCGGAGCTGGATTCAGTCTCCTGGAACGTGATGCTAGCAGTATTTGCCCGAGATGGGCAATTGGACCAAGCAAAGAGGCTGTTTGATCTAGTGCCGCAACCAAACTTGGTGTCCTGGAACTCAATGCTGGCTGCTTACACCCTGTCCGGGAAGATCGACGACGCAAAGCTCTTTTTCGATGGGATGCCTGAACGAGACATCATCTCCTGGAACACGATGCTGGATTCGTATGCCCAAAAGGGGCATTGCCGGCTCGAGGAGGCCAAGAGCCTGTTTGATCAAATGCCCGAGCGCAACACCGGGAGCTGGACGTCGCTGCTCACGGCCTACGCTCAAACCGGCCACGTCCAAGAGATGGAAACTTTCTTCTCTCGGATCCCAGGCAAGGACGTAGTGTCGTGGACCGTGACGCTCGCGGCCTACGCTCAAAACAAGCTCGCGGGGAAGGCGAGAGCTGTCTTCCACGCCATGCCCGTCAGGAACTCGGTCTCGTGGAACGCCATGGTCTCGGCCTACACGAGCAAGGGGCTCGTCCGCCACGCCGAGAAGCTGCTGGAAGGAATGCCCGAGAGGGATGGAGTGGCGGCGAATTCCCTGCTCGCGGCCTACGCCGTCAAGGGCGAATTTGAGGCGTGCTTGGAGCTGCTGCGGGAGATGGATGCTGGAGGCGGGCGCAAGCCCGACGAGGCCGCTTTCGTGTGCGTTCTCGCGGCATGTAGTCGCATTGGAGCTCTCGCCGCTGGCTGGAGATGCTTCTACTCGATGGTGGCGGACTATGGAGTGGAGCCGAGCAAGCTAGCGTTTAGCTGCATGGTGGATTTGCTGGCGCGAGCCGGGCACACGAGAGAGGCCAAGGAGCTTGTCGCGGAGATGCCATTCCCGCCGGACGCCATCGACTGGAGGTGCTTGCTTGCTGCGAGCAGCACTCAAAAGGATCACACCATCGCTGCCAAAGCTGCAAAGTCGGCACTTAGGCTATCTCCAGTGAGCACCTCGTCCTACTTGATCCTAGCGAACACTTGTCAGGGGAGCAAGGAGCGCTCAAGATTGTATTTAATGTGAACACCCTCAGTCAACCCCTTGGGGCAGAAGACCCTAGAAAACACTGCGAAATCCGAAAAAACTGTGACTTCCTCGTTGATCGCCAGCTATAACATACTTTCTATCATCACAATATATGTAAAAGATTGCCAAGATTATTATATGGGAAGCTCGATTAATGTATTCTAAATATTTATTTTAAGAAATTATATTATAAGATATTCCATAGTTATTATATTATTAAAATATAAATTTTTTAGTTTAGAACAAATTATATTGTCATTTTTAGGCTATTATATATGTCTTCATAAGAAAATTCTCATTTGAAAATTATTAAAATTTTAGTTTATAATATTTTCTAGTCATGATACTATTGTAATAATAATATTTTAGATAATATTAACAATAGGAAATAGAATATTACTTTTCTAAAAGTAACACTTAAAAAAAATTATTGTAATAATATTCATTTATCAAGTGAAAATTTTTAATTCACTTATTTGAGCAAAATAATATAGGAGAAATATGATTATCTACTTTAATTACAAAACCGCAAAGTCGGCACATTGGGTAGCACCTCGTCCTACTTGATCCCCAAGCAAACAGGACTATGGAAGAAGAGTGAGAGTTTCTTGTTCGATATTTACACTCAGCAGCAGCTTATTAGCAGCAAAACAGTTTAGTTTGGCTCGAATCGGAGCGCGACTACGATCAGTCCTAAATGAATCACGATCGCAAAAGAGGAGGCCACGGCTGGCTCCACAAGTCGTTGGTTTTACGTTCCATCCAATACTCGTCGCACGAGTGTGTTGGATCCAGCGTCTCGACAGCCTGAAAGAGAGAGTTTCCTCTCCAAGTCAAGGAAAAGGAAAGTAGCGCGAGAGAGTGTACCTTGACGACGCTGGGCACCGTGAATCCAAACATCTCCAGGCCTTTGAGGCTCTCTGGAGGCCTCAAAGGCGGTAAGTTTGCCTTGCCACTCTCGCGCAGTTGTTTGATCCTGGAGTTGACTTTCTCTTGCACAGATTGCCAGCAAAAGTCGATGCTGGAGCACACGATCTTCTCGTGAGGCCGGCCCTCCATAGACACCTTTAAGAACACAGTATAAGAAAACCATGCCTTCCAAGAAGAAAAGCTCCGCAAAGTACCTTAAACAATGGCTTCCCGTCTACACAATCCAAGATCTCGGATATATAGTAGCATGCTTGAGGAAGATCCAGGTAGTCGTAAAACTGGACTCGCGTTCTAAATCCTACAAGCACAGACACACACAAACTGTGAGAAGAAAGTACGAAAAGAGAAACGAATGAAAGCTTTACCTGCTGGAAGAATGGCATGCTTGGTGTGCCAGCCCGGCTTGAGCACAAGCCTTCCAGTTCGCACAAGCTCGATGTTGGGTGAGAAAGCCTTGCTGGGACGAATAACTCTAGCAACTCGAGGCCCGCCACCGCTTCGCGGCTCCACCACCATCAAGCCTTTGCCTGGTGCCGGATTGAGTACCTCGCCGCAGGCCGCCTCCCAGCTTCTACTACTCTCTAAACCGCTGCTGGGATCCACGAGCTGCCTGTTGAGCTCGGGCCGGGGTCCATGTATCTTAAACTTGAGAGGTGGCAGCGGTCGACCTTCCAGTTCTCGCAAGAACTCTTCCAGCTCTGACAGCTCGTGGCGGTACAGGATGAGTTTCTTCTCCGGAGTACACGAGCAGAAGCTCTTGACGTGGTCCAGGCACGAGTAGAGGTCTGGCGAGCACTGGCACGCCGCCGCGGAGAGGTGTAAGTCGTAGGAGCAAACGCAGCACTCCCTCTCGGCCGAGGAGTCGAAGTTCACGTCCATGGTTTGTGCTCTCAGATCATTCACAGCAGCTCGTCTTGAGGATTCCAGGTTGAGGCGAGCCTGGAGTAGCGAGTGGAATCGTCAAGAACACGAACAAAAGAAAGAAACGAGTTCTTCTGTGCTTACTTTCAGAGCAGACGCGAGGATTTGCCTGTGAGTGACGGAAGCTGAGACCTCTGCGAGCTCTTGCTTGACTGATGCCAGGAGCAGCTTGTCGTGCGAGATGGAGGTCTTTCGGTGCTGCTCCTTGTAAGTTTCCACGGCCGACTGGCCGTGCGGAAGCCAGTTAACTGGAGCAACGTTGACAGCCTCCGCGCAGTTGAATCCACAGTTGAAGCCGGCATGGTACGCTCTCGGGAAAGTGATCACAAACTCGCCACTGTTTTGGACGACTTTGTAAACCGGGACTCCCTCCTCTGCGAGGATGGATGGCGAAAGTTGTGTCACCTGGTCGTGAGAGAAGAAGGAAGCCAAGAACCAAGCCGTTAGATCCAAGATCAAGGTGTGAAAAAACTTACCAGCTTATGTAACAAGTCTGGCTGCTCCTTGAAGAGTGCTGGCAAGCACTTCTTCATGGCTGCCTCTAGCTTGCTAGCCGCAAAGCCGGGGACTCCATACCAGATTTTCGGAGAGCCCCAGTGCATGTAGTTCACCGAGTATAAGTGATGATCCTCTACATGCTGAAAAAAAAAAGTAAACAGCGTTTGTCTTCTCGTTTCTCTAGTTCCTTGTTCCTTGATGCAAGCTAACTTACCCAGCAAAAGGAGGAGAAACACATCCCAACGTACAGCCATGGCACGACGACTCCCGAGATTTCGTCGGCTTCAAACTCGAGCACTGATCCTTTCAGTCGTGCTATGTTGTTAAGGTTCCAGCCGGACGTCTCGTAAGGAGTGGCTTGCTTGTTTGCCACCGTGGCCAATTTCGGGAACCCGCTCTTGAAAACATTGGTTTCAATGTCCGCTCCATACAACACCTGGAAATCAGGTGTTAGACAAAGGTGGTAACACAAACGAAGAAGTCTTGCCTCTATTTGCTCGCTTGGCCTCTCGACGATTCGCCAAAACTCCCGCTCGATCTGCTCGACGGAAGGATCGAGCCTCGACGTGTCGTCTTCCTCTCCGGCTTGAAAGTACTTCTCCTTGAGCTCGTCGGCGTAAGCCTCAAACTCCTTGATCGTGAAAGACGGCCCAGGCTCGAAGCCGAAAAACTCTTGCTGCTGGGCCGCTTGCGGTGTGAACGTAAGAATCTTGGAGACTTTCGGCCGGCTCTTCTTCCCGTGACTCGAAGTCGTCGGCTCGCGGACTTGGAGCTTGTGGATCTTTTGGACCCGGGTCGAGAAACGAACGGTTTCTCCGACGTTATCCTTGAGCGAGCATGGCGGCCGCCACGACTTTGGAGGCACCACGCGGCAGATACCGTAAGGCTCTACGAGGGGCCGTATCTTCTCGATGTATTTCAGAGTGTCTTGGAACTCCTGCGCTAAAACGTATAAGCGAAACGAAACGGAAAGAAAGCAAAGAAGAAGTTACCTCTTCTGTAGGAAAGAAGACAGGCGCGGGATCAAGATTTGGAGCTCGGCCAGCTTCACCTCGATACTTGGTCATGATCTACACAAGAAAAAATAAAAAGAAAAAAGAAAAAACGAGAGGAGAGAACTTAATGACTTGACAGATCACTAGAAAGTCAACAGGGAAACTTACGAGCTGGAAACCATTGGAGCCTGCACGACCTTGGATGACACCGAGCGGCAGTTCGTCGTCACAGATCTGGCCACCAGCACAGTACCGAAAACTTTAGAAAAAGAAAAGCACAGAAAAACTTGCTCGCACCTTTTCTTGACTTAATCCTTCGGTTTCGCTATCCGAGTCGTGGTAATCGATCCATGCTTTCCTCCGCAAGTTTTTCTCCGTGCTGGTGGTCACGGCTTTCGGTTCCTCCTCCTCGTCCTCGCTGCCGCTCGAGTAGCAAAACTGCTGCATCCGTCTCTTTCTTTTCTGCGGTCCTGCCGGCCGAGGCTCCTCGTCACACGGAGCAGCGGCCCTTTTCACAACGATGCGTGGTCTCTTTCTCATCACTTCCACCACTTCTTCCTCTTGTTCTTCTTCTCCCTCTTCTTCCAGATCTATAACTACGCCTGTAACAGGAGAAGAAAAGGTTGGAAAAAAAAAACTGCTCGGGCAAAAAAAATACAAGGCCCCCTTTTAACAACTTACAAGGAGGAGTTTTAGGATCCATGGCGACTTGGCTTCACACCGCTCTCTGCCATAGGCCAAAAAAAAAAAACCAAGAACCAAGCGAAGTTAGAAACGAGACCATCTTCTAGATCCACAACAAGAGAAAAAACTTACACGAAAACCTTAGCTTCCTCCGCCTCTTTCTCATCATCAAGGGGCAGCACGACTAACCATGTCACTGACCCCCAAAGGAGCAAAAAAAGAGGAGCTCTCCCCAAATCTCTTACTTTTTGTTTGTGTTGGTGGTACCCTTGGTAGATCCCAGACAGGAACTCTCGCGGTGTCCCAGTGACTGGTAGTGCTAAAGTAGTAACACGAAGTGGTGCCTACCTACGAGAGAGCTCTCCCAGGGATCTCTCTCTCGTTTCCTTCGCCTTGGGCTTGGCGGCCCTTTGACTCCACCACCACCACGCGTCGTGGAGATCGTAACTCCAGTACCACTTTGCGATTGATTGAAACACACAGGGGGGGTTTCCAAGTTTCTCTTTCTTTTTACTCCTTCCTTTTCTTGACGAGTTCTTTTTTAGTGGATTTTTGCAAGACCACGCCTCTCTCTCCCTCTCTCTTGATTGAGCGATCAAAGCCCACCAGGAGAAAAAAAAAAAAAAACCAAAGTCTATCTATCCAACCCAACCTCCCCCATTCAACAACACACGCTTTTCGGTTGCGGACTCCACTAACACAGCGGTTAAGTTAGCCGCCAGTGGCGTTGGGAGGGCTGTTACGTTATGTTATGTTAGTTAGCGAGGTTTGCCACCAAAGCTACCGCGTTGGAACAACGGGAATGCCGTGAAGGAACAGCTTTGTGTATTCCAAGCGTTTTCTACTTTTACAAAAAGACGCGCTACGCTAAATCTGGGGGCTAGCCGCCAAAACTGGCGGCAGGGACGGCACGGTATATCCCCCGCGCTATCCCCCAGAGAATCGCAGCCGCCGGCCGTGCGACCGAATCCACGGCCACCGTGCCACTTTAGGTCAGAATATTCGAAATCCTTTCTTCCCTTTCGTCACCAACACAAGCGAAAGCTATGGATTCCAACTCTCTCCCTCTCCTCTATCTCTCACCTCCTCGTGAAGAAAACCGCCTGGATCGCGGGCGCGCTTAAGATTGCTGCTCCTTCCACAGGAAGGCACCGATGGCGTACTGGCGCTTGTCCTCAACGCCACCCATGTCGTGCGCGGGCAGCCCATACTCCTCGAGCAGCCGATCGATCTGCCACTCGGGCATGGTGGCGTACTGCTGCCGGGTGAAGCGCGGGTAGTGGACGGGCATCTGGAACTCGAATGGCACGCCCGGATTCTTCACCACCGCCGAGTAGGGGCAGCGCGTCAGCCCCTCCACGTCCCCCGCGGACCACATCCGCCGGATGGGCGGCGCCGCTGGTGGCTGCTGCTGCTGCTGCTGCTGCTGCTGGCTCTTGGACGACGACGATCCAACCAGCTCCGATATGAGATTGCTGAGGCTGAATGTGCGCGGGGGCCGCCCGCCGCTGCGAATGGGCGATTCATTCTCGCCGCTGCCGCTGCCGCCGCCCATAACCGATGGCATCCTCCCTCGCTCTCGATCGACCCCGACTCGAGCTCCCGTGCCCTAACTTCTTAAATAATACCTAACAATGGCCCGCCTTCTTACACGTGGCGGTTCTATAACCGTCCCTTCACGGCATCCACAGAGGATATCCTCTAGCTGCCCTAAACTGCTTCTTTTTAGTTTAACATAAAACATACTTAACTAAATAATTTTAACACCACCAAGCTTCCGGAGTTATTATGGTCAATCTTGACTATTCAACCATAAGTCTTTCCTTCTAAAACGTCGTGAATCAATCTCTTGAGATACCGAAGAAGCTCAAGCTGGGATGTGGGCTTAATGCTAGAGTCGCACATGGAGTTCCCATTAAAAGATGAACCCCTTTATCGCTACACAAAGTGCATGTTTAAGATGTGGCATGCCCACAAACTGCAGCAGCTTTGAAGCGCTGCGAGGCTTCACAGCCGTCCTCCGGGGGAGAGATTCTATAAGCGCCTCAATTTGCTAGCCAAAGCTGTCAAATTGGAACATTCATACCTTTTCATTCTCAATGAGCGTGAATCAAACGGTCTTAAACAGGATGTTTTCTTCGTGGACAGCAGGAAGCAAGAGCCCGAGTTGATGCGATGCTCAATGAGGTACACCGAGTTCTTGGAGCAAATGGTACAAGGCCAGTGGTTCATGGACCTCGTTCCACATGCTAAGAAAGGTTGTCTCTTTGACACCATTTCACCAGTGAAAGAAAGATTTTGCCTCAAGACTCAATAGGAAGCACAAGCATTAGCATGGTGCAGGAGCAAATGGATGACAGAGATTATCTCATGAGAACCATGATGATCAACAACGACTCCAGGTGATCAACCCAGTCTCTCTTGGGCTATATCTTCATTGTGTAACTGGCATGCAGCCATCCAGGAAATATGGTTGTCTCGTCCCTACCATCTCTTCCTTGTGTAGTCCAAGTGAGCACACCTTGTACATACACATTCTTTATAACCAAGTTGGCTTTGTCCAACAGAGACTACTCGCTGGTGAATGGACTTGTTGCAAAGGTCCAAGCAAGCTCCATAGATGCTTGAAAACGTGAAGCTATCCACATGTACCCAATATGTACCCAGTATTGTGTTCCAAGTTAAGAAGCTCCAACCTCTCAAAGGCCCTCCTCAACCATACCTCATGGAAAAGGTGACAAGAGCAGCTCCCACTTGCGGAGAGAAAAGAATCAGAGACAAGACCCTTGATTTCTTGTACTTTGTCAACTGAAGAGCTTTGGAGCAACAAAAGGAGGCATTCTTCAAAGGTTTGCTATTGTTCTTCTTGGACCACCACTTTCATACACCTCAAAGCTCTAGCTTTATGCAATGGATATGATCATAAGACCTATTGGACATGCCACAAATCTTGCTAGTTTGATTGATCTGTCCGGAGCTTGAGTGATATAAACCATTGGAATATTCCACGAATATTCTACAGCCTATGGGATTTGGCCTTAAGGGTTGGGAGGTAGGCTTGCTCTTTGTTCATTTCATTAATATAGGGAGTAGTGATCTTTGTAGTATTTTTGGTATAGTTAAAGTTTTCAATGCAAATTCTTAGAGATAATTGCTCCGTTGACTGATATTCTTTAGAACACATTAAAATTTCATGGTTGGGATGAGAAGTGTTAATTAGTGTTAATAGTGTTATGTCTCTACTCCTGTGTTGAAGATTTTTGATCTTGAGACTAGACAAATATGAATGATATTGTTATTGGACAATTGGCCATCCATTCACGTACATGAGTCACAAGTTTGATGCCACACAGTAAAATTGGCCTATTCAAGATAAGGAGTTGTATGTTGTAAATATTATTGTGAAGGAATGACAACATTATTTGTATAGGTCAGATTTCCATGTAAATTCAAACTAAATATTCTTAAGGAGTTTGTTAACTTCAACTCTTTTATCATTGATATTCATGAAAAGGTTTAATAGAGAGATGCCTCTATAGATTTAAAGGGTGACAAATTTATGTCATTCAAGATGCATGATAGAATTCTGGTGAAGAAGTGACATATGATAGTTCCTTATGTTGACAAATTTGTCAAACAAATTTTGGTTGAGTGTCATGATGTGCCAAATATTGGGCATCCAAGGTATTAAAAATTGAAGAGGCATTTCTTTTGACTTGAAATGAAGTTAGATGTTAATAAGTATATATATGGTTGTTTGACTTGCTAAGTAATCAAAGTTGATCATTAGAAGCTCACTAACTTCTATCATCCTCTACACGTACTGATGAATAAGTGGGATAGCATCTTGATAAACTTTATCACTAGTTTTCTTAAGACCTTTTAAGAAAATAATGCTATTTCAGTAGTCATGGACACTTCTTTTTAGTGAAAATGACAATTAAAACTTCTAAATTTACTTAACTATTTATAAATCAGTTAATTAATCTTTATGGTTTGTCAAGTGATATTATGAGTGATTGGGATCCCAAGTTCACGTCCAAGTTTTGGCAAATAGTATTTGAGAAACTAAAGACTAAGCTAAACATAAGTAATGGTGAGTATCCATAATTAAATGGGTAGATAAAATGTATAAATCAGCTCTTGGAAGATATGTTGAGATCTTTTATGAGAAATTTAACTTGTCTTATATATATATAATATATATATATTGACTCGCAAAGGAGTATGGAAAAAGTAATTGCTTTTGGTCCAGTTTGCTCACAATATATAATGCACCCTATTTCTTTCCTTTTAAGCCAACTAAAAAAGGGGTAATTACTTAATGAGAGAGCCTTTAGTAACTATTTTATCCTTATTTATCTCTTGGGGTTCCAAGAATCCATGCATTACACTCACCCCCCTTTAGAGATGTCAATAAGGATCCAAAGTTTCAAGGATCTATGGTGATAATATATCCAAATTTCATCATATGATTACATGTTAATATCTTTATTGACTATTGACTATTAACCCCTATTGAGTCAAGAGGAATTAACACCTCCATTTCCAACTTGAAATTTTAAAGATCCACAGTGATAGTATATTCAAATATCATCTTATGATCACATATGCTACATTCACCCCCTTAAAAAATGTCAATATCCTTAATAACTATTAACTAACAACCTCTACTAAGCTAAGGAGAACTAGCATATGTTAATATCCTTATTGACTATTGACTATGAGCCAAAGGGAACTAACACCTCCATTTTCATATTGAATCTACCAATCCTTTTATTATGTAGACCAATTATTCCATGTGAGGCAACTAGTTATCCACTTGATGCTCCACAAGAGAAAGGATGTATACATAGATGTCTAATACATATGATTTCAAATTTAAAGGTAGGAATATACCTTGCTCAAGGGTATATTATAATTTGAGTAGCCACTAATCAATAAGAATCGAACCCATGCCATTTGCTTCGATACCCATGATGATATATAGTTATGAGCATAAGTCTTCCATAAGTTTAAATTTGGCTTTAGTTAGGGTGTCTGATGCTTGTGATTTCTTAGAGGATATAAAAGACAAGCTTGAGTTGGCAAAGTTGAATATAAAACAACCTCAAGAATAAGATAAAAGATTGGTTAATGAGCATTGTCGTCATTAAAATCGAATGCACAATAGTTTCTAAAAGAAGGTGGTAGTGCTAAGTTGTCTCCATAGTATTGTGGGTTATAGATAATTTTACAGCATGTGGGGGATCTTGCTTACATTTTGGACTTACTAACTAGTTTAAAGATTCATTCAACATTCCATATGAGCAAGTTTAAAATGTGTTTGCACTTTAGTGATGTCATGAATAAGTCCATCATCCCTAAATTGATGCAAAGAAGGCCAATCTAGCCAATATTCATACTTAAAGACATATGTAAGATAACTTGGGATGGTTTAGTGGAATGATTATTCCATAGGTGAAGCTATATAAGAAATTGAGTATGATATGAAGAGAGTGTTTTTGAGTTTTAGCTATGACTTAGATGACATTCTTGATGAAGGGAAGGTCTATAATCATATTTTTCTATGATTTGAGCCATTTGTTTTATTTTTATTCTCTTGTTTTCATGATCATATTGTCATATAAGAAAGCCATATTATTTTCTTTCTTTCGTAGCCTTTTAGGGTAATGTTAGTGTTGCCGTTTATACATCTTTTCTTCATGGTTATATTGCTTTGGAATCTCTTTATGTAAAGCTCATTTAACTTCTTGAGGTTGTTATCTATAGTTCGTTCATGAGGGGAGAATGACACAAACCACATAAATATTCCAAGAGTATTTTATAGCATGTGCTGTCATGCTTTAAAGGTTGAGAGGTTGGTCTAGGGTTCACTCCTTACTTGTTTCATTGAGTATAAGTTGATTAGAGTTGTGTCTCCTTAAAATCCATCTTTTAATATTTTGTAAACACTAAAAGCAAGGATAAAAGTAAATTCTATTAGCCACATGCCTTCTAAAACCATTTTGTGAAACACACTCCATAATATGATAGCAACATAATTTCAAGTTAAAATTTCATACTGAAAATTATTATAACTTCTTATTATCTCATGTATAGTTCTTAATAATTATAACTTAATTTCTTACTAAAAATTATATCCTTTTTCTTAATAAAAATTTGTCCATACATATTATATTACATTAAAATGTATGTATCTAAAAACAAAAAAAGTTCCCTAAAACAATCTATTCTTCCTTTGTATAGGAGCTTTCCTCCACTTCTTCCTCTTCATCAGCATTGCGCTAAGGATTAGCTAGATTGCAAGTGTGCCTGTAGATGTTAGTAGCATATCTAAAAATTTGGAAAATCCACATTATACACATTAGCAATTTAGGGTGTGAGTTTTTTTCTTGTAGTAATTGTAACTTCTTTGCATGGTCACTAATGAAAACTATAAACAACTAAAGAGAATGACTTAAAAGATAATCTATAACAATTTAAAATAAATGGAAATAATTTATGAATAAGAGTACATCTTTTTCAATCGGTTAAGGGTCTTGGGATACTTGAAGTTAAGCACCCTTAAATTTAAGTAGTATTAGGTTGTGTAAATAAC